AAGCACCATGTGATCTGACTAAAATCACAATTACATATTTCTGTAACTGATTTTATGAAATTTGTTACAAAATTTGACTTCCCACATCCACTTGGTCTTGCCACAATAGCAGTAAACGGATGTATAAAGTAAAACATTACACACGTCTAAAGTTCTAAGGGGTGAAATAAAAAATGAAAGTGTTGGTGTAAACAATTAATATATAATGTGTACTATAACTAATGTTTTTGGGAAATCAAACAAAATTTATGATTAATTGAAAATTTTAATATAATAACCACTTGTAAAAAACCCACACTTCGTCACAAGAAAAATGTAAAATTTTGTGATTATTTTTTGCAAATATATGATTATTACACACATAACGTTTGTTTAAATTTATGACATTTACCAAATCATTGTATTTTGGACATTTGTATTCTTCAATATTAAAAATTCTATCATTCGTCGTCAACATTTTTAAAAATTGTTTTTCTGTTAAAGCACCTTTGTATGCGATCACTTCGTCTTTGCACAAATTTCTAATATACCAATTTAATATGCGAATGATGTTCTCTTGTTTGTAGGCACATCTTAATTCTTCGGTCAGATCAAAATATGGAATGCCGTGCACGTGTATTTCACAGTAACGAACAGTTTTTTTTGTCTTTTGGTGACAAATAATTGAAAGGATAACTTGGCCGAAACAAATAATGATCAATAAACGCATCATTTTTATTAGATAGTTTTACGTCTAGAATAGTCATTTATCTACATTGAAAATGTTTATGGGGATATGTAATGTAAAATCTGTCCATGTCGATGATGTATCTAATATTTTTTAGATTTTGTGTTATTTTGAACCAAAATGTTAACAGTATTTACACGTGACTAAAAATATGTTTGTTCCAACAAACTTCACATAACAATGCTTCATTACTTACCATCATCCCATTTCTTCCTTCTGCTCTTGTCTTCCTGTAATTTAAGTAAACAGAATCACATTCACTAATGATCAACTAATGACTGTCATTATTAAAAAAGTATTTTTAACTACTCTAGTATTCGTAGATGCGGTACACACACAATATTTAAATATAATTTGTTAAATTGCAAATAACAATTTAATTGGTGCCGGCGGGGATCGAACCCGGGAACTGTGAAATTTACAGCTTGCGCTAACCATCTGAGCTACCACGGCTTAATCATATACACACACACACACACACACACAATATTTAAATATAATTTGTTAACACTAAATCATACACACGTAAGAAAATAACAGAAAGAAAAGTAAGTTTGTCAATAGAATAAACACTTAAAATTGCAATTAACAATTTAATTGGTGCCGGCGGGGGATCGAACCCGGGTACTGTGAAATTTACAGCTTGCGCTAACAATCTGAGCTACCACGGCTTAATCATATAAACACACACAATATTTAAATATAATTTGTTAACACTAAATCATACACACGTAAGAAAATAACAGAAAGAAAAGTAAGTTTGTCAATAGAATAAACACTTACATCCATGGCCTTTGATGCGTTGAAGTAACACAAACGTAGTATTGATAGATCCACTGCGGTCAAACGACCATACACTAACTCCATGACTGCACTTGCTTGGTCTTATATAGTACCAGTAAGTAATAATTCTAATCTAAAGAATTTCTGCAGTAGAATTGATAGTAACTTTATGCGTCAACAAGCTTATCTCACATTTTGTTGCTTATCTCAACATTACTTCGTATCTCGTCTTCTTCAGTGTATTGATGACTCAAATACGTTTTGTATAACACAAAATAATGCAATTTAATATTTAGAAATCACTATAACTGATCATTCCTATGTTAGTCATTGAGTAGATTGTACTGCAATAATCTACTAATAGCAGTAATATCATGGATACACTAGATGTACAACAAACATCTGAAAAAGATTCACTCCACTCTAGAAAATAATGTTTATGCTGCCAATAAACTGCTGTATACCCACGTACCAACGTATATAATATGCAATTTGGATACAGATGATAAACCAGGGTCACATTGGGTAGCTTTATATATCGATACGAATGACGTCGGTCAATATTTTGATTCATTCGGACGAGCACCAGTACGATATCATCTAGAGTTTTTAAAAAGAATTTGTAAAAGATGGAACTGGAATGTTGATAGGATTCAGAATGAGTGGACTTCAGTTTGTGGCGAATATTGCTTAATGTATTTGCTATATAAGTTTCAGGGATGTTCAATGCATAGTTTTACGAGTATATTTACAGGGAAACACATTGTACAAAGATATTTTAATGGATGAGATGTTTCGCTCCTATTTTATGGATGGACCCGCAGATCGATAGTGCGCAGTAAAATCAGTTAAATTACCACCCATTTTGCCTACCGATGGACCCGCAGATCGATAGTGCGCAGTAAAATCAGTTAAATTACCACGCATTTTGCCTACCGATAGACCCACAGATCGATAGTGCGCAGTAAAATCAGTTAAATTACCACGTTTTTTGCCTATCGATGGACCCGCAGATCGATAGTGCGCAGTAAAATCAGTTAAATTACCACGCATTTTGCCTACCGATGGACCCGCAGATCGTTAGTGCGCAGTAAAATCAGTTAAATTACCACGCATTTTGCCTATCGATGGACCCGCACATCGATAGTACGCAGTAAAATCAGTTAAATTACCACACATTTTGCCTATCGATAGATCCGCAGATCGATAGTGCGCAGTAAAATCAGTTAAATTACTACGCATTTTGCCTACCGATGGACCCGCAGATCGATAGTGCGCAGTAAAATCAGTTAAATTACCACGCATTTTGCCTACCGATAGACCCACAGATCGATAGTGAGCAGTAAAATCAGTTAAATTACCACGTTTTTTGCCTATCGATGGACCCGCAGATCGATAGTGCGCAGTAAAATCAGTTAAATTACCACGCATTTTGCCTACCGATGGACCCGCAGATCGATAGTGCGCAGTAAAATCAGTTAAATTACCACGCATTTTGAATTTAAAAGATAAAGAGGACAGAATGTTCGAGATTTTTTCAATTAATTTTTCTTCACCCTTTGCCTATATTACTTATTCTGGACCTTCTCCGCAAATTTGGCCGCCTACTGCAAAATAACCCTGTATATATATAACATTAGCAATCCGGCCCGGTCTTGCGCGGGTGATTTTTGGTGATCTTGAAAACAGCGCCACTATTATTAAGTGATCTCATTAATAGACTTATATTTGTCCTAACTAAGTTTAAAAAAGTATTTTATAATCATTTATGTTATTTCTCGTAAAACAAGCTGTTTTACAACAGTCAGGATAGTTTCTCACTAGGTAAAAGTAAAAGTGCCGGAGGATCTATCAAAGGTGTTTGATTACGTAGATCACAAAACACTGTTAAACAGATTAATTATTGTATAAAAAATCGGTTAAGATTATAAATCATATTTATTTAACCGGTTTTAAAAAGTAGTTATTAATGTAATAGAGTTCTCTGGAGCACACTTGATTATTGGCGTATCCCACGGATCAATGTAAAGACCACTGCTCTTTTAAATAAATGATTTTCCGTTTTACACTTAAAACCATTGATGTGAAACAGTATTATTTGCTAATGATAATTTTTGAGTATTTAAAATTGATAAAGCTAAAAACTTATTTGATGATGTAATCGATGCTGTATCTCAAATATTACAGTCGTTTGCAACTAAGTAGCGGGTTACTACTTACATTAAATTGAACCAAGAAAACTGTAGTCAGTAGATTCTAGTCTTTTTTGGTATTACAATTTACTCTAATTGAGGCCTTGCCTTGAGTAAAAAAGTTGCTAACATATACACACAAAAGAGCCGGATTGACTGGGAGAGAATGCCTAAAAGCATTAAGTCCGCCATTTGCAATCCTTTTTATTAAGGTGCAATAAAGTGTAAATAAATAAATAAGAGCTATATGTGCTGTTTTATACATTTTTATATTTAATTAAACTAAGGGACTAACTCACAGACCGCTTTAAAGAAATAAACATCTATCTGTTGCATCACCAATAATTTTTGACAAGATTATTAAGAAACAGTGTGTAACGAACTATAAATACTTAGGGTTGGTTATAGATAATCGTTTCTCATGGGACTTGCATGTTGAATTAGTGTGTAACAGGCTTAGGGCAGTAGTAGGTAAACTGAATCATATAAAATATGTTGTGAATCGAGGAATCATGTATATGCTGTATTATGCCCTAGCAGACGCAATGATAGGATATGACTTAGGTGCATATGGACTCACATTCCCAACATATCTTAACAAAATAAAGACTATACAGATAAGGTTTTTAAAGATATTAGTTGATACTAAAACGTAAATTGCTATAGATAAAAATTATGAAATGTTATTTAAAATTTGCAAAATTACTCTCATAGAAATGAAAGTAAAATCCATTATCATATTAGAATAGCATGGTATGGTAACATTTAAGAAACCTAGGACATATATAATGCCGAAGCGCCAAATTACTCAAAGGAGGAAATATCTCATACCTAGGGCTGAAAATTACTTTGGACGGCGTACAAGACAATGGATAACTCCAACTTTGTGTAATGAGGTAGCGGATATATATGACGAAAGCATAACAAAGGCGCAGCTCAAATCCATCTTGAGGAAACATTATCTGTCGTTGTGTTCATAGAGGTGAATGTTTCTTTAATTATTTTGTGTTAGAAGTACCAGTAGTTATAAGTACCAGATATTGTTATTAAGGAGTGTGAAACGATGAACTGTTTGTTGTGTTGCCGACAAACTGGCTTACAGTTTGGCAAAATTTAAAATACAAATAATGTACACTTTTTATAAGAATAAATTAAAAAAAATAACTTTGACAAAATTAGTGAAGCCCGTAATTTTATATTTAATAATATTTGTGTAAAATACTAAAAAAATGATTTCTGCTTGAATTCTTAATTGTTTTGAGAAATGTAAAAAGATTTCATCAGATAAATAATATAATTTGGTACTGACCGACGATATCCGGTGGCAGTGGTGGCGCGTTTGGCGGGCGGTGTGCGAACATAATGTGCGTTGCGTGCGCACCGCCGTCCAGCGCCACGCTGTGCAGCGTGTCGAAGTACGAGTCCACGTAGTAGAGGCGACGCGCCGGCGCAAGCAGCGCCATGGCGCCCGGCCGCCGCACGCGCCGTCGCAGCAGCGCGCGCACCCGCGACCCGTCCAGCGCACCGGCCAGCAGCGCCGGCTCCGCGCCGCGCTCCGACCACACCACCTCTCTGCATCAACACACACACCGCTTGTTACATCTCACACGTACACACACCGCTCGTTACGTCCAGCGAACCGGGCAGCAGCGCCGTCTCCGCGCCTCGCTCCGACCACACCACCTCTCTGCATCAACACACACACCGCTTGTTACATCTCACACGTACACACACCACTCGTTACGTCCAGCGCACCGGCCAGCAACGCCGGCTCCGCGCCGCGCTCCGACCACACCACCTCTCTGCATCCACACATATACCGCTCGTTATGTCCAGTGCACCAGCCAGCAGTGCCAGCTCCGCACCGCGCTCCGACCACACCACCTCTCTGCATCCACACATACACCGCTCGTTACGTCCAGCGCACCAGCCAGCAGTGCCAGTTCCGCGCCGCGCTCCGACTACACCACCTCTCTGCATCCACACATACACCGCTCGTTACGTCCAGCGCACCAGGCAGCAGTGCCAGCTCCGCGTCGCGCTCCAACCACACCACCTCTCTGCATTCACACATATACCGCTCGTTACGTCCAGCGCACCAGCCAGCAGTGCCAGCTCCGCGCCGCGCTCCGACCACACCACCTCTCTGCATCCACACATACACCGCTTGTTACATCTCACACGTACACACACCGCTCGTTACGTCCAGCGTACCCGCCAGCAGCGCCGGCTCCGAGCCGCGCTCCGATCACACCACCTCTCTGCATCCACACATACACCGCTCGTTACGTCCAGCGCACCAGCCAGCAGTGCCAGCTCCACGCCGCGCTCCGACCACACCACCTCTCTGCATCCACACCATACACCGCTCGTTACGTCCAGCGCACCAGCCAGCAGTGCCAGCTCCGCGCCGCGCTCCGACCACACCACCTCTCTGCATCAACACACACACCGCTTGTTACATCTCACACGTACACACACCGCTCGTTAAGTCCAGCGCACCGGCCAGCAGCGCCGGCTCCGTGCCACGCTCCGAATACACCACCTCTCTGCATCAACACACACACCGCTTGTTACATCTCACACGTACACACACCGCTCGTTACGTCCAGCGCACCGGCCAGCAGCGCCGGCTCCGCACCGCACTCCGACCACACCACCTCTCTGCATCCACACATATACCGCTCGTTACGTCCAGCGCACCGGCCCGCAGTGCCAGCTCCGCGCCGCGCTCTAACCACCTCTGCATCCACACATACACCGCCGTACGTGCGCCCGCCAGCAGTGCCAGCTCCGCGCCGCGCCCGACCACACCACCTCTCTGCATCCCCACATACACCGCTCGTTACGTCCAGCGCACCAGCCAGCAGTGCCAGCTCCGCGCCGCGCTCCGACCACACCACCTCTCTGCATCCACACATACACCGCTCGTTACGTCCAGCGCACCAGCCAGCAGTGCCGGCTCCGCGCCGCGCTCCGACCACACCACCTCTCTGCATCCACACATACACCGCTCGTTACGTCCAGCGCACCAGCTAGAAGTGCAACACGCTTTGCACAAAAAATAAGCATTTGACAAACTATGTACCATGGGGTGCTAAGAACCTCCGGTAGGGGTTCGGATGCCACCTAAGGCGACTTGTCCTGGGAAAATATAACGAACGCACCCTGACGACTGACGAGAAGATCCTGCAGCTGGATGAAGAGATTGACACATTGCGCTGGGATGTTATAGAATTATCTGAGGCGGAGGACATGGTATTTCTAGAATCCGGCAATTTGTTCTATGACTAGGAGGGCGACCATCTGTCCCAAGGAGGTATCGGATTTATCGTGCACAAGTTTCCGTTAACAACGTCGTAAAGATTGCGAGTGTGTCGACGAAGGTTGTGTACCTTATACTCAGAATCACCAAATGGTATTTGTTGAAGGTCATACAGGTTTATACAACAACCTCGGCATATCCCGATAAGGAGGTGGAGGAAATGTATGAGGATATCTCTAAAGCCATGCATTCTTCCAAAACCCACTATACGGTGTTAATGGGAGACTTCAACGTAAAACTAGGCATAAGAGAAAAAGGTGAGTTTAAAGTAGTGGAATTCGGAATAGGGCAACGGAACTCAAGGGACCAGCAGCTGGCTGACTTCATGTAGAAAGGGAGACTCTTTATCATGAAATATTTCGTCCAAAAAACGAGATTGACTTCATTTTAAGTGGTAGAGCCATGCTGCGGCTATATTGTGGTACCACGCTCTCACAGAATATCAGCTTAAAATAGCAGCTTAATGCTGCTGTGTTTCGTATGGTGAGAGTAGAGAACTGGAGACCCTTTTAACTGGAAACAAAGCATACTATCTCAATCCTCAGGGCTGGCAATGTATCTGCATTTTGATTTTTAATTGGAGATGAATGTAAACGTCTACGGGCCCCAGTATTCACTTACCATCAGGTGGGCTGTGTGCTCGTTTGTCACTCTTATTCTATAAAAAAATGGTGACTAGAAGACAACTGCTCAGTGCTGTCTCTGTTATCGCAATGGTGAAAACTGGCAGCGGTTACCGAACGGTAAGAGGCACACAGAACGTGAACGTTAAGTTGGAGAGGTCTCGTCTAATGAAACGAAAGTCAACACTCCGCCATCCTCGTGCTCTAATCCAAATTCCCGAAAACTTTCAACTCGAGTTACAAAAGCATTTTCAGTACCTATAATACTGCAATACAGTGGAAGATACAGTGGACAGGCTCGTGGAAATTGTTCATGCGGTGTATAAGATCTGTAAGACCCGTCCGGAAGAAAAATAAACTCTCTGATCAAACATTTAATCGCATGGACATTAGACGGGAAATTAAGCTGCAGTGTTCAACAAATTTGATAACATACAGGCAGCTGAACAGACAGATCTCCAAATGCATGCGGCGGAACTTACGTGACTTCAATACAGTTCGTATTGAAAAAGCAATCGAGCGGAACCAGGGCTCCAAAGTCTATGTCAGAGATCTGTCTGCCAGAAAGAGCCAACTATAAAGCTGAACCGAACTGTTTCCGGGACACTTGAGATTTCTAGTGTGATTGAGAGGTTCAATGGGTAGCTGTACATGTCATCGTTGGAGTCACAAGCAAGTGTGAGTAACGATCCAAGAGCAAGAGTCTTATCCGATACTATTCTGATGATATCCCGGACGTCAGTCTGAGCGAGATTAGAATGGCTCCCCATCACCTTAAAAACGGCAAGGCCTCAGGTGAGGATGGAATTACACCGGAGCTTCTGAAAGTGGATGGAAAATCGGTACTTGAAGTAACTCCCTTGTGCGACTACTCCGGAGGCGTGGAGCAGAAGTGCGGTGGTCTTGTTTTTCAAGAAAGGCGAGTACGCTCTCTTAAGGTGACTCTAGTCGACATTATTTCCATAGAAATTTCGGAGGGCTTTTACTCCGCTGTTTGTCAGTGTACATCCAAAGTTAAACATGATATCGTTTTGTCTCGTTATTAATTTTGTCTGTACCGAAACAGAATAGTAAAATAAAAAGTCAGTAAAAAGTTACGAGCTACCAAAGATTCGTTTTTATTGCCAATTTTAACACAACTTTGGGCGTAAATTAGTAATAAAAGCAGTGTAAAATTTCCAAAACAAAGTCGGTACCGACACAGCTCAATTATCGAAGAATTCAATAAATTTTATTGGTAATTGATTCATGCAGTGGTTTTTTCGTAAAACCCCTCCTTCCAAAGGCATTTTCGTATTTTTTTTACGCGCGCGTGTTTATATGAATTATCGTGCATCTCACTGAATAATGTTTCCCCCGGTGCAGTGCGGGAGGACGACACTTACACACACATGCATGCGCGGTGACGCGCGCTTATTCTAGTTTTATTCGACTCAGTCAGCTGCGGCCTGTGACGTTCGTATGATTATAGCTATACCTGCGCTCTAAATTACTACGCTACATTGACCCCTGCTTGAACTTTGGATTAAATCAAATTGATATAAGCACAGACAAAAATAGAGGAATATATAATTAAATTTTGAAAAAAAAACGATCTCAAAATTTTATTAATGTTCCGCTAATTTTATCTGTACTTACCTATGTCAATTTGATTTACATTCGTTTATAATTATATTCTCAGACGTGCAGGTTTCCTCAATATGTTTTCCTTCACCGCCGAGCACGTGGTAAATCAGCACAATTGCAATTAACAATTTCATTGGTACCGGCGGGGATCGAACTCGGGTCTGCATGTCTGAGAAATTAAAAAAATATATATTTCGAAGAAATGTGAAGTTCGTCAACACGCATTGAGGCAGCGTGGCGGAGATTTCCTTGCCTTAAAACCCTCTCAGAAATTAGAGGAGGCCTGTGCCCAACAGTGGGACGTATATAGGCTGTAACTTCACTTTTTTTACTTTTATAAATATGTTATTTTACCGACGAAAATTTTAAAGAAAAATAAAAAATAAGCAACCGACAACCTCCTAGGTCCCTAGGTGACTTGCGAGATGTCAGTGTAACAAAACAAAACGGCCCAGAAAAACAGACTTTCCAACTGATAGCTAAATCAGCACGCAACAATTTCATTGGTGCCAGTGGGGATCGAACCCGGGTTGCTCCCGTACTGTGATACCTATAACGAGCGCTAACCATGTGAGCTACCACGGTTCTCAACGACATCGTTCCGTTCGTGTACAGCGCTGAAGATAGCAGAGTAAAAAATTAGAGATTGTGGTGTTTGAAATTTGTCATCTGTGAGAGTGAATTTTATCTGTGTACTCTGTAACAAATAACTATATAGAAAAAAATCTGAAAATGATATTTCGCCATTTTTGTTTGTGTACTGGTTAGGAACTCGATCAAAAGTTTGATAATTTTTCTGTTTTTATACGTTATTTCTAATGTTATTTTACATCAAATTAATTGTGAAAATATTTTCTTTAGGAAATATGTTTCATTACGACGATTCAAAAACGTTTACATATAATAATTTACCTCGAAATTCACTATACGCGATTATCGTTTATTGATTATATTATGTTGTTTAAAAAGTATTCCTATCAGCTTTGTGTTAAATGGATGCTAAATATAAAAGAATGCTTCAATATTGATAGCAATTTATAAACGAAATATCTGTTGAGATGTGTCTAGAAATTATTAATACTTATTTTTATTTATTTATTAAAATAATAAATAAATAAAAATAAGTAAGTAAAAATAAGTATACATTTAGTTTGTAGGTAGGTACTGCTGATTTCTCAGCAAGCGTCGAGCGGCACAGAATAGTATATGTGGGTGGTATGTATGTGTGCATCGTGTTCGTGTAACTTCGTTTTTGTTCTAACGGTTCGGAACGCCGTACGAACAAGACGTGCGTTCTAACTGCTCTTCACTGATACTATCTCTGTCGGGCACGATGCCAGGTGAGACAACGTGCTTTTTGGCCGCGCCCACCAATGAGTTCGAGCCCGCGACTTGTGCCACCTTAAAGAGCTACAGATCGATTTCCCTTTTGTGCCGCGTCTACGTGCTGTTTTCAAGAGTTATTACGAAAGCAAGCAGACTCGACGACTTTCAGCCTGCCGAACAAGCTGGTTTCCGAAAGGGCTTTAGTACCATAGACCACATGTTCATAGACAATTCTTTCTAGAATTAAGAATAAATAAAAATAAAAAGCGAAATATTTCAAAAGCAAATACGGGATAAAAGGGAGATCAAATTCATGAGGTCGTAAGGAAAAATATTAAAATTGTGTATAATAGAATAGTAAAAGTTTGATTGGTCCATTGGCGGTGCGCACTTACCCGGTGTCGTTGGAGAGCACGAGGTCGTCAGGCTCCGCACCGCGGCGGCGCCACAGCGTGACGCGGCGCCGCCCGTCCAGCGCCGCCACGGCCAGCACGCCATGTGCCTCCCCGCCCCCCGCACCATCCGCACCCTCCACTGCAGTCCAGTACAACCGCTTGGAGATCCAATCCACCGCCACGCCGCGGATGATGCCCCCGTCTTGGATCTACCCATTCACATACGCTGTATTACATGCTAGAGTAGCGCTGCACTTGCATTGTACTGCAGCGAGAATAGCTCGGCTGGACCGGGACCACGTTTGCACAAATACCATAGTAGCAGCATGATGCTGTTGGGTTTCATACGTTAAGAGACGAAAACTGGAGACCCTTTTTACTGTTATTGAAGCGTTTCATACGAGGTTCAGACAAACGAGCACACAGTCCACTTGAAGGTAAGTGCATTCTGAGGCCTATAGACGTCACACTTATCCCCGATTAAGAATCAAAATGCAAATGCTTGTCACCTCTGAAAACTTAGATAGAATGCCTCGTTTCCAGTAAAAAGGGTTTCCGGTTCTCTACTCACCACACGAAATAGTATTAAGCTGCTAATATTCGCTGGTATTGTGTGAAAACATGGTCCTACCCCGGTCGAGCCAACCCATTAATGCTCCAACCATAATAGCTGCAGCGTGGCGCTACCCTATATAGTTAATAATTATGTTTTCCACTCACGATTGTCTCCGCCTGATGCATTGGCGGCAGGCGCGTGGGCAAGGCGTGCGGCGTCCCATCGATGGGCAGGCGCAGGCGCCGCAGCCGCCCGCGCGCGTCACCCCACCACACCCACCATTCCCCAGCCACTAGTCCCACCGCCACCGCCGCGATTTCCGCACTGCAACACCACCCACGCCCGTTTTAACAACACTCACGTTATCGAGATCAGATAGACAATGTGACGAGCTCACTAGAAATAGAAACTTTTTTTATTCAATATAGAATTTTTAGATAGAAAAAACGTAAACCCCACTTGGGTTTTGTCCGGTATCGTGAAGACAGTTTCACAAGGACAATCATTCAGACCCGAAACAATTATTTGTAGGCCATACAAATTTTTGTTTCGTGCGGGATCTGACCTGCGTCCCTTAGCGTCACCATCATTGCTAAGCCACTGGGTCACGGAGCCGTCAAAAAAGATAAATATTTAAAAAAATATAAATAATACTTATTGAAAGTCATTCTCATGTTAAACTTACCTTTTTTATTATATTGGTTTGGAAAATACCTCTGTCCTGAGTAAGAACCAGTAAGAAACCCAGCGGAATAAAAATATAGATGGTAAAGCACCAGTGTTATGGCTTTAGCAGGAGTGAGTCGGTTCGGTCCAAAAGTGACTACGCTCGGACAAAAAAACTTGCGTAGATACAGCACTGAACATCGATGCCGTGGCCCATAGATATCTACATCTATCCTCAACTAAGAATCAAAATGCAGATACGTTGTCACCCCAGAGAACTGATGTGTAGCGGCGCTGTCGTCGCCGCCACAAGCGAAAACACACCGAAGCCTAAATCACGCTATCAACATTCCGAATCATAAACAGTATATATAGAACATCTCCGAACTATTACATGGAATGTTGGCCGCTCCCCGGGCAGAACACCTTGCCCGGCGGGAGATCTCCCCTTTTCCTTCTACGGCCACAGATGAAACATTTGTATTCCAGTAAACCCGCAATCTACCGTGACAATCGGTTGCCTTCACTTACCATACATAACACAGCAGCATTGTGCTACTATTTTACTTTAGCATTTACGTGGTAGAGCCACAGTGCAGCTATATTGGGTGCAGCAGAAATGAGTCATCTCGGCTGGGAAAGGACCACACTCTCTCAGAATAAAATATCCGCTTAATGCTGCTGTGTTTCGTATGGTGAGTGTAGAGAACCGAAAATCTTTTTTGCTGGAAACTAATCATTCCATCTTAGTCCTCAGTGGTGACAACGCGTCTGCATTTTGACACATAATCCAAGATAAATGTAAATGTCTGAGGGCCACAGCATCCACTTACCATCAGGTGGACTGTGAGCTAGTTTGTCATCCAGTTCTATAAAAAAAATCTTTGCTGTGGTTGCCTCTTCGGCCACGTGGTGGCGGTGTAAGAATTCACCACCCCATATTGTTCCGTGGGTTTCGTAACAGGCGATAAAGGGAAACAAACCGGAAGATAGGCAGCAGCATATTCCTGATAACAACTCAAAATTAGACTACCTGCTAAGCGAAGCAACTATCGCAAAATCTCCCCCCACGAATCAATCTATGGCGGTGGTCTATGTTCAGCAGTAGACTTTTTAAGATGGTATTCTTTGATACTTTCGTACTTCAGCCAATACTAATACGTTGCATGTAACGTGGCTCTACCACGTGCAAAACGAGCGAGTTAATAAACGTCAAGTAGGTATACAAAGTAATATGACCTCTCAGGGTCCTCCGGTGGCTCCGGCTCATGCTCGTGCTTGTTGAGCTCCCACAGCCGCAGCGTCCCCCCCACTGCTACGACCAATTTCGCCTTCTCACCTGGGTACAGATTCAATAAAAAGTAATATGACCTCTCAGGGTCCTCCGGCGGCTCCGGCTCATGCTCGTGCTTCTTGAGCTCCCACAGCCGCAGCGTCCCCCCCACTGCTACGATCAATTTCTCCTTCTCACCTGGGTACAGATTCAATAAAAAGTAATATGACCTCTCAGGGTCCTCCGGCGGCTCCGGCTCATGCTCGTGCTTGTTGAGCTCCCACAGCCGCAGCGTCCCCCCCACTGCTACGATCAATTTCTCCTTCTCACCTGGGTACAGATTCAATAAAAAGTAATATGACCTCTCAGGGTCCTCCGGCGGCTCCGGCTCATGCTCGTGCTTCTTGAGCTCCCACAGCCGCAGCGTCCCCCCCCACTGCTACGATCAATTTCTCCTTCTCACCTGGGTACAGATTCAATAAAAAGTAATATGACCCCTCAGGGTCCTCCGGCGGCTCCGGCTCATGCTCGTGCTTCTTGAGCTCCCACAGCCGCAGCGTCCCCCCCCACTGCTACGATCAATTTCTCCTTCTCACCTGGGTACAGATTCAATAAAAAGTAATATGACCTCTCAGGGTCCTCCGGCGGCTCCGGCTCATGCTCGTGCTTGTTGACCTCCCACAGCCGCAGCGTCCCCACCACTGCTACGATCAATTTCTCCTTCTTACCTGGGTACAGATTCAATAAAAAGTAATATGACCTCTCAGGGTCCTCCGGCGGCTCCGGCTCATGCTCGTGCTTGTTGAGCTCCCACAGCCGCAGCGTCCCCCCCACTGCTACGATCAATTTCTCCTTCTCACCTGGGTACAGATTCAATAAAAAGTAATATGACCTCTCAGGGTCCTCCGGCGGCTCCGGCTCATGCTCGTGCTTGTTGAGCTCCCACAGCCGCAGCGTCCCCCCCACTGCTACGATCAATTTCTCCTTCTTACCTGGGTACAGATTCAATAAAAAGTAATATGACCTCTCAGGGTCCTCCGGCGGCTCCGGCTCATGCTCGTGCTTGTTGAGCTCCCACAGCCGCAGCGTCCCCCCCACTGCTACGATCAATTTCTCCTTCTCACCTGGGTACAGATTCAATAAAAAGTAATATGACCTCTCAGGGTCCTCCGGCGGCTCCGGCTCATGCTCGTGCTTGTTGAGCTCCCACAGCCGCAGCGTCCCCCCCACTGCTACGATCAATTTCTCCTTCTCACCTGGGTACAGATTCAATAAAAAGTAATATGACCTCTCAGGGTCCTCCGGCGGCTCCGGCTCATGCTCGTGCTTCTTGAGCTCCCACAGCCGCAGCGTCCCCCCACTGCTACGATCAATTTCTCCTTCTCACCTGGGTACAGATTCAATAAAAAGTAATATGACCTCTCAGGGTCCTCCGGCGGCTCCGGCTCATGCTCGTGCTTGTTGAGCTCCCACAGCCGCAGCGTCCCCCCCACTGCTACGATCAATTTCGCCTTTTCACCTGAATACAGATTCAATTTAGCTATAGGTGTATATATATTTATTTATTGTAAAAGCGGAATAGTGAGAAACACACTCACACACACACACACACACACACACACACACACACACACACACACACACACACACACACACACTCACACACACACACACACGCACGCACACGTATATTTGTATGTTTGTAAATGTATATATATGTATGTATTTATATATGTGTATATATTTTTATATAAAATTTTGATTATATACTTTTATTATTATCATTTAAAACATATTGCATATTATATTTATTCTATATGACTTTAATTGTAAATTACACTTTGGAAATCTCATATCCGATCTCCACATGCAACGTTCAATTTATGTCTAAGAACAGTATAATCGAAAAGTATGTAATAAAGCCAAGAGGGGGGAGCCAGGAGACCCATAGCACAGGGTAACCTTGTTTGGGCTCCTGTCTCCCACTACTACTCAAAAACTCTTTAACTATTTATGAAACTATTGTAATTATGTAAAAAGTGGGAGAAATAAATGTTGGGGTATCTATATAGTTTTCTCATCTGGTTGGGTTCTATAAATATATAATTATAAATGAAAATGAAAAGATAAATATACATAAATATCAATAACATAAAATAAATATAAAAGTACATAAATAAGTAAAAGCCCAACCAGATGGAGGCCCTCGGCAGGGGGAGACCAAATGGCCGAGGGTTAGGGGGGAAAGGGAAAGAAACCGGCGGACGATGCGGGCGGTATCGAGGAGCACCGCCTTCTGCATTTGAACCTGGAGCGGTCCGCCACGTAGTCCCAGCCGCCTCAGATGACCCGAGAGGCTGACTGGGATTAGCCCGTTTGCAGAGACGACTACAGGAATAATTTCGGTCGGCAGACCACCCCACATGTCGGTCACCTCGTGAGCCAGGTCCAGATATTTTGTTTTCTTGTCTGTTTCGGCTTTCACGAGGTTCTCGTCATACGGAATGGTAATGTCGACCAAAAATATCCTTGACTGTGCCCGGTCCATCAGCACAATATCAGGCTTATTCGCAAGAATAGTCCTGTCTGTGATGATGGCCCGGTCCCAATAGAGCCTGGCGCGATCATTTTCGAGCACGGCTTCCGGCAAGTACTTGTAATACGGCAATTTCCGATCCACGAGACCGTATTTCAGAGCGAGCTCCTGGTGTAGAATTCTGGCTACTAGGTTGTGCCTGTGCAAGTACTCAGAGTTAGAAAGCGCCGAACAACCGGAGATAACATGCCTAAGTGACTCACCGGGATGGCGACAAGCTCGACAGATGTCGACGGTGCCATCCTTTAGGATGTATCTCCGATAGTTGTTGGTCTTAATAACCTGATCCTGTATTGCACAGACAAAACCCTCGGTTTCCCCGAAGAGATCACCAAAGCGTAGCCAGTGGAGGGAGGCTACTGTGTCTACGAAAGGCTCATGTAGAGCCTTGTAGAACCTCCCGTGGAGCTCCTTCTCCTTCCATACGGTCTCCCGGTCGGAAATGCTCTGCACTGCCGGGTCTTGCCATTGCTCGTTGGCTAAGGATAGAGGGGTAAGTCCTTTATCACAAGAAATGACGTCCTTATAGAATGGATCATCCGATCTCGCAAGGAAGTAATCACGGAGGCTGCACACTTCGCGATTATGCATGGTGAGCGCGCTCAAGAAGCCACGACCACCATGCTTCCGCGGCAAGTACAGCCTCATTACCGACGATCTCGGATGATGCATCCTATGGGACGTCATGGTAGTGCGGACTTTTCTATCCAGGGCGTTAAGTTCAGTCTGAGTCCACCTGAGTATGCCAAAGGTATACATGAGGACAGGCATGACCCAACCGTTATATGCGTGTGCCTTATTCACACCGGACAAAAGGCTGTTAAGCACTTTGGTCAAGCGTGCATAAAACACGTCGCAAACTGACTGTTTCATACCAGCCTCATCGATACCGATGTTCTGTGACATACCCAGGTATCGGTATGTTTCAGCCTCGGAAAGGGTTCTTAAGTTGACGGGCATAGATAAGTCTATGCCCTCAGAGTTAGCAACCCTTCCCCTTTCAACATGGAGGACCGCACACTTATCCGTCCCCAGCTCCATTCTAATAGAATTGCTAAATTCACACGTGATGTTTAGCAATTCCATAAGATGGGAGCGACTGGAGGCGAATAATTTGAGGTCATCCATGTAGAAAAGGTGGGTCACTTTTGTACCTCCTTTCCGAAGCTGAAATCCCCTTCCCGGAGCCCTCCAGTAAAGTACTGAGAGGGTTCAAAGAGAGGCAGAACCAGATTGGACTCAGACAGTCGCCCTGGAATATACCCCTTCTTATCCTTATGCGGCTTTCCGCAGCCGTCATCCGCTCGCCTAGATGACAGAGGATCGTACTCCACTGCCCCATACACTGCTCGAGGAAGTCTCGAACTGTACAGTCAATCTTGTACAGATCGAGGACCCTCTTTAGCCATGTATGGGGCACCGAGTCAAATGCCTTTCTGTAATCTATCCAGGCGGCGGAGAAGTTCCGACGGTTGCGTTTCACCACTTTGCCGATGACCGCGTCAATGAGGAGTGGTTCCTTGGTTCCACGACCGCCGCCCCGCACATCCATTTTGAGCGCGCGACATCACCTGATTTAAGTCCAGGTGACGAGCGATTCTTGCGCTCAAAATGGATGTTAGTGTCTTGTATATGGTCGGTAGACACGTGATGGGGCGGTATTTGCTCGGGTCTGTGGCACCCTGATCTTTAGGAACCAAATGAGTGATCCCAGTAGTGAAGAGGCTTGGGAGCGACTTCTGGTTGAGAGCCTCTTGAAACTGTCGGGCGAGCACAGAGTGACACACCATGAACCCCTTCAGCCAGTAGTGATGCAGCCCGTCAAGCCCCGGACTTTTCCAGTTCGGGGCCCTACGGACCGCCTCAGCTACGTCATCCGGCGTTATGATGACGGGGTCCATGGGCGTAATACTCGCACACTGACTCGCCACAACTTCCGTCCAAGGGCCCTCGTTGTGGTTTACGGGCTCTGACCACAGGCTGCGCCAGAATGCGACCATGTCGGCCTGATTTGGTGCAGGGCCCGTTCCACTTACTATTGGTCGCTCCAATGATTTATAGAGCCTCTTCTGATCACTCTGGAAGAGACGATTCTGGTTGAACCGTGTCGACCTCTCGGTATATCGCCGAATCCGCTTTCCCCAAGCAGCTATTCTTTGCTTCAGGTCGTCTATGCGCTCCGTCAGTTTTTGCATTATATCCGGCTGGGACAAACTAACATTTGTCCCAGCAAACGCCATCCTGACGGTGCGCACAATCCTTGGCCTGGTATTGCCTGACCTGAAGCATATCAGTCTGCCGATGAGGGCCCTAGCCTTTGCGATACGTTCTTCAATTCTTATTCTCCAGGCTGGGATAGCACTACTTTGTCCAGTAGCGCGTCCAGCCGTGGAAAGTTTGGCACCAATAATACGGCAGACTGCCAGTGCGGCGCCAAAAAGAATTGAGTCCGTATCGCAAAGGTCCCGGCTGGCTTCCAAATAGGTAACCAGCATTGGGTTCAGAGCCCTCACGACAGCCCGATTCCGCTTGCTTAGGGCTAAGCGGGGAAGTCGCGGTCGATTTTCGAGAGTCGTACTGCGCGTTTCCACAATCGCCTCTTCCAATGTACTCCTCATTTGCTCTAGTTCCAGTTCCTGGGCGACTGTTCCATCATCGTTTGAATCAACCACAACTGGCGTATTCACGGCGGCATCCACATTTGCCGTTTGCTCAGCAAGTTGTGGCGCCGCATCCTCAGCCGCAGCATTTTCACCCGATGAAGGAACAGCCTCACGTCGTAGCCGTTCGAGTTCGGTGACATCAAATGTATTTGAGCGCAAGATATACCGAACTCGGTCTGCCAGGTTTTGCTCGGTGACGGTTACAGATGGCTCCAGCTCAGCAAAAAGTCGATGCATCCTTGCCCGATACGCAAAACCTCCAGTTTCTCCCCCCTTTCGCCCTAAAATACGCCCGCAATGCGTTGCTGTTCATCTGGGTTGTCCAACGCATGCGGCGTACTCCACCAGTGGCGGGTGCCGATTGCTGAGCCCGCGAAGACCCTGCCGACACCAAGCCAGCTGGTGGGGATGATGGATGCGAGGAGCTGCTGGGTGGTCGTGCAGCACCTCGCGCTCGGCTGGCGGTTCGCATGCTGTCGCGTCCAGCGCCAGCTCCAGACGCGCCCTGGCGACCTCCAGGCAGCGGCCCTTTGCGCGTTCCATTTGATTCCATCATCCATTTTAGGGCGTCATTTAGCGGGAGACGCCCAGACCCGGCGCCGTTTCATGGTTAGGCCGTTTCATGGCATGGCATAAATGTTTATTATTATTATTATTATTATTATTATTTATGTGATTGATGAGTTTTTTTATATTTTAATGTTAATAAGTTCTATGACTAGTTCTATTGATAGTTCAATGTACTAAGATATTGCATAAAACTTGTAAATTCATATTTTAAAACGATACCGATTAAAAGAATAGGTGATACTGTTCGTGTCACACACTTTATAATGATTCTCTAAATGTACGGAAATAACGCATGTAAGTCAAACAAGCAATTTCAAAGCAAGGATCATTTCTTGGACGAAGGTTCATACTTATACATTTACAAGCTTGTCTAGAGAATTCGTGGATGGATGTATACATATCAAACATTTTTTATTATTTATTGAATTGTTTGTCATTCATACTATCATCAGGAGATTGTTTAAGAAAGTAATAAAGTGTTATAATATAATGGTTACGATTTGCTTCGTCTTTCATAATGCGTACTTCAAAGGAGTGGAATGATCTCCCAGCAGCAAAATAAAGATTTTAAAATAAAAATGGCAAAATGTTTTTAACCGATTTAAAAAGAACGAGATATTAAATTCGATTATATGTGTTTTTATGTTTGTTACCTTAGAACTTTTTCTGGGTGAACCGATTTTGATGATTCTCTTTTAATTTAAAAGCTAGTTCTTTTCATGTGGTCCCATATAAATTTAACCAAGACCTGACAAGTAGTTTTTGAATTATCCTCAATAATGCGTATTTGATCGGCTTCGACTACATTGATGATGTTCTGATTTTATTTGTATTGAAGCCGGTTGTACAATTTTTTAATTTTACCACTTGTTTCTGTTACACTGAGACAGTGCGATTTACCATCTGTAGCTTTATTGCCACTTCTAAGTTGAATAATAATTGTAGTCAAGCACTGGCTTATATAAAGTAAAAAAAACAATATGAATAGCATCCACTCACCACCAGCTTCGCACGTGAGACTGCCGTCTGGTAACTGCCGTTGTTTGTAGCCCGACACGCACCTAGTGATTTAACAATCATTAACATGTATATTGACAGTTATCAAAATGTATAAAATTTTACAACTTTGTACACATTAAACAAAAAAAAATATCCACCAAACAGACGTATTTTACTTAAATACATAAAAGAAGGACAACAAAAACAAAACAGGTATTAATTTAATAAATATTAGTGTGCATTGGAGGCTGATCAATCCATAAAGCCCTGCTGAGGTAATTACAATATTATTTTGGCAAAGCTCTTGTCAGACGAAACTAGATCATTAACTGGATTAGTTTCTTCTACGTTGTAAGTATTATAAACTAAAAACTGAACTACATAAGATTAAGCCTCCTATATAAAAACGTGGGTCTACCCCGAATTTTAAAAACTGTTTCTATTTTTGTACGTAGTTATTGAACAGGTTCCCAATGTTATCTTATAATGCCTTCGTTACATACCAGTATCGTATGTTAGTTACATGTTTGATGCAGTATGTGTGTGGTACTCACTTGCAAGTGAAGTTGTGCTCGTGCTTGGGCAGGCACAGCTGTGGGCACGAGCGCCAGCTGCACGCACCTTGCTCTGTGGACATGCAGACAGACACGCAGCATCAGCGGTACATATTATCATATACTGACACGTATTATTATTATTTTATTTTTTAATTTATTATTAGATAATATGCAGTGCAGTTATACAGTAGCAAGATGCCGCTAAATTCAGTTGCTTATCGCAAGATATTACTTTTGCATGAGTACAGAGAACCGCAAAGTTATTTTTACCGTCATTTAGCAGATAATCAATTAGGAGAAAAGGTGTTCGGGCTGCATATTTAACTTTGTAACCACGTCCATGCGGAGTATTATGTTAAACAGTTTTTAAGCACTAGTGTAAAATTGACATTTGAAGACATAAATTATATCCTTACAGCTCTGTTTTGACTCTTTAACACCATTAAAATTGTTAATTGGAATATTAAGTACTGATTTAACACGTGCTCGGCGCTGGAGGAAAACACCGTGAGGAAATCTGCATTGCCGTTAACTTTCACTTTGATCCTCGTCGATGCAGTTAATTGCAAATTTAAGTGTTGAATTTCCAGGTAGTGGTCACGTGATATATGGAATATATGTCCGTGGAACAAAAATATTACGAAGACATGTCGTCCGCCAATACGTGTTATAAAAGCGCACCTGACTAATTTCTTGATAACCCTCTCAGAAATGGGAGGAACTCTGTGCAGGACGTATATATGGGCTGTAACTTTACCTATAACACTTATTATATACAGTTAATAGAGTATAACAATTTCATATTGTGTACTAGTATCGTACTGCCGTACGGTGGTACCGTATGCTCTTGCCAGCGGACAACACTGTGAGCAGGTTAGTCTGTGGCACTAACGCCTATGTGATTTAGGTTGGAACGACCATTTTCAATAAATATAAAATAGAGAATATATTGCAATTATTATTTGTATATTTCCATAACGTCTAACAGTATAACCAAGCAACAAGGTGCATACGACTGAGGAATGACGGGAAAACGTTAAATCCAAATATCATAGACTACTATAACAACATCAGCTCAAGGCTTACCCGCGTCTGCCCAGTGTGCAGAGCGAGGACAAATCTTGTACGTTGTGCACGCCAGCTAACGTATCGCTTAAATGGTTTATGACCTCAATCCAGCAGTCAATAAAAATCATCTGAATCATCTGTGAAATTCACTAGTGATAATAAAGGAAATACATCTAAAGACTAACTCTGGCTTCTGCTGACTCATAGGTTACATGAAAATGATTCTATCAAACAAGATGGGGGAATCACAGAAGCAACGGACGAATTTTCACTATTTTCAAATACACCAGACCGAAATTGAAAAATAGCATCTTTAATATAAAACCTAGTCCACAGTTTGTCCACCTGCCTACAAAATTACATGAATAAGTTATAAAACTGTTGACAAGATTATGAGTATGAAATAAAGGAAGTTATAAATGTAACGCACCAACACAAGCGGACTCGGTGGGAGCACAGCGGCCGTCGGGGCAAAGCACCTCACCCTCCGCACAGCCTTCCGTGTTCACAGAGTGCCTACCTGCAACACAACAACATTTACATTTATTTATGTACATTTTTTATAGACGTATTACTTGGTACAATTAATAATTAAATACGTTAAAGTCAAATTTATCCTTAGATGTTCCACAAAATTCACTTTGATCCATCTGTTTAGAAAATAATTAGGTGCTCTCAAATAATAATATTAAAATTTAAGTTACAAGTTATTTTGGGTTCAAATATTTATAGTACATATAAGTTGATTTTAAAGTTTAAGGGAATTCCGGGAAAAATATCAAAATTTTGTAGTCGGTATTTAACTCTATAGTCCGTTCGCGTTAAGAAAATAGTGAGTCATCGTTGTCCGCCGGCCTGGCCACGCCCCCCAGCCAAATATAATGCAAGAAATTAGAAAGTCGAGTTCACAGTGACCAGTTGAAGTCAGGCCTTCGAACAAAACTGTTGTGTATTTTGCGTGTTACTCGTTCAACATTAAATGATTACCTCACCTATTCGAAAGAATAAACGTGGATCAATAATCCATAGCGGTGAGAGACGCGTAATTTACAATGTTTATAAGTACTTTAAACTGTACGATTTAAATGCGACTGTGCGGGTGGAGAGCACAGTAATAAAAACAGCAAGTGCATGTGGTGTGTCCGAAAATACTGTTTATAAAATTATTAAAGAACAAAAGGATACTAACACATTAAAATCACCCGTGAAAAAAAGAGCTCGACTATCGACGGTCGATAAATTAGATGAACTAGACAAATGTGCAATAAGGAGAAAAGTTCACTCAATATATTTAAATAACGACTACCCGACATTGGACAAAATTATGACACTTTGCGAAGCTGACGAAGATATTTCTGTTTTCAAACGCACCACACTTCATAAAATAATACACGAGCTTGGTTTCGATTTCAATAAAAAGGATAGCAGAACATTGTTAGTCGAAAGAGAAGACATTGTTTTATGGAGGCGTAAATATCTGAGGCAAATAAAAGAATACAGAGCCTAATAAAACCATTTACTATCTTGACGAAACGTGGGTAAACGCTGGACACGTAGAGACAAAAGCATGGTTGGATACAACGGTAAAAAATAAAAGACAAGCCTTTCTAGATGGCTTATCAGGCGGTCCAAAAGCTCAGACAGGCAAAGGTAAAAGGTTAATTGTATTGCACATTGGCAGCGACAAAGGATTCGTGAAAAATGGTCTACTAGTATTTGAATCTAAGTCTACAAAAGACTATCATGAAGAGACGGATGGTGAAAGATTCCTTAATTGGTTCATTAATATAATGCCTAAGCTAGAACCAGGAAGTGTGGTTGTCATGGATAACGTTCCCTATCATTCGGTAGAAGTCTAAAAAATACCAACAACCAGCTGGAACAAGCAGCAAGTAATAGATTGGCTGCAAAGCAAAGGCAAATCCATGGACATGGCTTATTTATAAAAAGAATTATTAATGAAAGTTGCCGAAATCGCCCCACAATATAATAAATATTTAATAGATGAGACTGCCAAAAGTAATGGCATTACAACTATTAGCCTACCGCCTTACCATTACAAACTTAATCCAATTGAATTGGTTTGGGTCCAAATAAAAAATTATATTGGTGCCAATAACTTCACGTTCAAAATGAGCGACATAAAAAATTATTAGATGATGCAATAGCATTAATAGACACTAATCGTTGGAAGAAGTGCTGCGACCACGTGATACGCGAAAAAAATACCATGTGGAATTTGGATGACATCATGGAACTTACAGAATAATTAATGTAACTGGAGAATCTAGCGATACTGATTAGTGATTTAAGTAATTTTAAGAAAACTTGTTTCCATTAAACTTAATTAAATGTTTGAAAAAAAAGAGAATTTTTACTCCACTGTGAATACACCTTTACCCTGTAGTTGCACTGATGACTCACTATTTTCTTAACGCGAACGGACTATAATAGCAAATGCAACGTATATCTTGATATTTTGATAAAGGTGCATACTTAGTTGAATATTTTTATCGATTTAAAACGTAAATTTAAGAGATTCATACTTTTTGTAAGCCCCTGGAGGTGCTATAGTTTACACAAACCGACTTATCACTTTCAATAATGATGTAATAAGTTTTTGTGAAGTTATGTGTACTCACATAATTGTAGATTTTCATCGCTACCGTCCTTGCAGTCTTCGTAGCCATCGCAGATTAAGTTCTGTGGGATGCAAGTGTTGTCGCTGCACCTGAAATGTAAACTAACGTTATTAAATATATTTTGGATCCTGCTCGAAGGATCGTATAATTTTTAAGTCATTAAAGAATATTTTTATAAGTATGTGTTCTTCAATTTCATTTTATTTTGAATATTATTACAAATAATCATAATATCGTGATTCAGTTATTTAATTTTTAGTACGACGACATCTAGTGACAGGTTAAATAGTTATCCCCCCGAACGGGTTCCCGCCTTGACGTGGCGGGGGGGCTTAGTAGCCGTGGCTTGGTCTCCCACGGTGAACAAAGAGGAACCCACGTGGCTGGCCCGAGGTGAAGGGCCGGCCTGAGGTGGCCACTCCAAGTGGGCTTGGGGAGCCCACTTCGGATGTGTGCTGGTGGACTGCAGCGAGTGGGGACTCCGCACCCTCTACCGCTGCAGCCGAGGTGGAGTCGCGGAGGAAGAGGAGTGTTGGTATGGCGATGCGCCACTCGACCTATCCTCCGCGACTCAAACGGGGCCGCACCGTTGATGCGGTGGTGATGGGGCTGCGGGGGGAGAGGATTGTCGGTATTGCGAGGCGCCGCTCTCCCTATCCTCCGCAGCCGAATCTTGGTTGGCGGCGGAGCCATAGACCAGATCCGCCGCTGGGGTCGGGAAGGCTAGTACTTCTAAGTGCTCGTTTTTCCTGGCCCCATGGCCTTAGCGCATCGGACGCGGGGGCGTCTGTTGCGCAGATGTAATTGGAGGTCGTGGAGGAAGGCGTGCCATGTGTTCTGGTGCGCCTTACTTGGGAAGGAGAACGGGGAGGAATATTCCTCTCCCGAGGAGGAGCTGCCATGGGGCAGCAGTCGCTGGCAGGGCCGCGGAAGTGTGCGAAAGCGTTCCCGTAGCCCTGCCAATATGCGACTAAGGTGGAACACCATGGGGTTTTAGTCGGTGCGAGTCCGACATAACCCGTCTTTGCCCCCGCGAGGCGGGTATGCGTAGGCATTTCCCCATGTTAAAAAAAAAGGTTAAATAGTTATACCTGAGGTTATACATGGGGAAAAAGGCCATGAAAGACATTTAATCTATCAGTACAATGACATCCAGTGACAAGTAAATAGTTAAACAGGTACCTACGCAGGGAGACAGTAGTTTTTCCACGATTATTTCTAGGTATTTAATGCGTCCCATTTTGGGTAATTATAACAAAAAATAAGTAATACAGAGGACGTTCTTTGCTTTCTGCGGTTTTGCCTCGCGTGTCGTAAAAGGCGATTAACGGCAGATTGGGTTCGTGATTGTGTCGGCAATGGGCTAGCTATCTATCGCTTCTATTTTAACTTTCCATCTAAATCCATCACGTCGCTTAAACGTGGTCCGAGTAGTCCATTTCTGTTTGGACTGTGCTTATTCTAGACGACAAAAAGATGAATTAAGTTTGTGAAGACTGTGACTAGTAAAACTGTGACACTAGGTGTTGTGGTGTGATAGGTCTATGTTTACCGGAGCATGGGCGGGTGGCAGGCGGTGTGCGCGCACATGTGCGGCAGCTCGTCGGCGGCGGCGGGGCAGTCGGCGCGCGTCGCAGCGCCAGGCGGCCGGCACGCACGCGCGCCCGCACGCCAGCCGCGCGCCGCACCGTGCCGCGCCCCCCGCGCCGCGCGCCCCGCCCGCCCCGCCCCCCGCGCTGGCACCGCACTCCGCCTCGTCCGACCCGTCGCTGCAGTCCACCTCGCCGTCGCACCACCACTCGCTGCATACATTATATTAACTCTTACCAACACACATATGTTATAATTTTAATTTTGCGTAAAAATCTGGAAACCACTAACAATAATTGCACTAAAACCATTTTTAATCGAGGATTGTTCAGTTCTGAACATTGCAACTTAATATTCTTAATAATCTCAGAAATGACGCAAATGGTAACCTAAATGCAAACATATATCGCTTACGGAGCTCGAATCGAGCAGTCGTGCCTATCAGCAATACAAGTGTTTAAATATTTTCAATAAAACTGTGACCTAGATAAACCATTGGAAAATTTCTGTTGAGTTGTGATTTCACGAATAACAAATTATAATGAAAAACATTTGATATAAAACATGTCTAATACATCCGAAAATAGTCCTTTCAATCGGAGCACCATTACATCTCGGAGTCCGCCCAGCACGCCTCAACCACCACACCAGGATGCTGTAGACCCCATCGAATTTTTAGCCACCAGTGAAATAAAAAATTGGATGACCTCAATCGAGCAGTGTCTAAATGAAGTTTGCCATATTGCTCAGGAAGGAAAACTGAACTCTGAACAAAAACTGAGAATCAATTCCCTATCGCGCAAGGTCGGTAATGCAGCTTCTCAGATGGCAGTTTACTACCAATCTTTGAAGCAAAAGGCTATTCTAATGCACACCTCTCTTGAAGCACTGAGAGAAAAACAAGACCTAATGGAATGCCTAAATGATTTTAGAAAATCACTCAAGGAAACGATTCAAGAAAACTGTGCCAAACCATCTACAGAAAAAATGTCCTTTGCTGATATGGTCAAAACAACCAAAAATAATTACTTGCGCCCCAATACATTCAGTTCCATAGCAATTTACCCTGAGAATAAATTAAAAACAAGTGAAGACACAAAATCTCTTGTCCAGAAAATGATATGCCCCGAACAATTGAAACTACGCGTAAGAGGACTACGAAAAACTAAAAATGGAGGCGTTATTATAAACACTGATTCAAAGGACATTGAGAAGTTAAAAAAATCTACCCAGCTTAGTAGTTCCGGACTAAAGGTGGAAGAGCCCCATAAAAGAAGACCAAGGCTTATAGTCTTAGGAATACCTACCGCCCTTAGCGAACGAGAAGTCTTTGACTGCATTTTTGAACAAAATATAGCCGATAAGATCCCTAACTTAACGCGGGAATCTTTTTTTGTCCTCTATAAAACTAAGTCATAAATAGGGTAAAAAACAAACACTTTCATGCAACTTTATTTTGGAAGTGCCAGCTGGCATCAGAAAGGCACTTATCAACCAGGAGCGAGTCTTCATAAATTGGACATCGTGCCCAGTTCGAGACTTCACACTTGTGACCAGGTGCTTCAAATGCCAACAGTATGGATACGCTGCAAGAACTTGCCGGGAAACAATCGACACATGTGGACATTGTGGTGAATTAGGTCATCAGTCAAATGCTTGCATTAAGAAAACTGATCCAGCAAAGTGTGCAACATGCCTGCGTTTTAAAAAACCGAGCGACCATAAAACAGGTGACCCCGAATGCCCGGCTAGGAAGATGGCTGAAAATAGGTATATTAATTCCATTGATTATAATGAGGGCGCCTAAGAGCGCCACCTTTTACCTAAATTCTTTTTGCCCTAATTTATAAGTTACTAATAAGTTTAAGTTTAGTTTATATATATCTTTTTTTTTAGTGTTATTTTTTCTGTTGAATAATATGGATAAGTTAAGTAACGAAATCGATGCGGTCAGTTTATCAGTGGCAAAAACATGTGAAATTGATATGTGTAAAGAATATCTCTTCAAACCTGCGAACACTCTTACTATTTTAACACAGAACATTCGTAGTATAAATAAAAACATGGATAATTTCCATATCCTCCTTCGAAGATTGGACACTGAGTGCGACATCATCATACTAACAGAATGTTGGCTATCTAAAAGCCAAAGCAACCTCCCATTACTGCCAGGTTACAATACTTTTAGTAGTAAAAATGTATATAACCAAAATGACGGTGTAGTAGTCTTTGCGAAAATAAATACGAACATATCAGTCGAGGAGCCTAATATGCTAGATTGTAGCAGGTTATTGGTGAAAGTGGGTCATGAAACTGCTATCCTTGCTGTTTACAGACCGTGTGGTTTTAAGCAAATAGACAATTTTATCACGTCATTAGACATTACACTTGGAAAACTGTCGTCCTTCAAAAATATAGTGTTAACGGGTGATATGAATATTGATATAAACCCAGAAGGCAGTGAAGGCGGAGCAAAAGACTACCTTAATATATGTGCATGCCAGGGCTTGCTTCCAGCACATTTGCTCCCTACACATCTAAGTGGTTCTTGTTTAGACCACACTTTTCTAAAAACTAGGTTACCATCTATAACCCTTGTCACCAGTCCTATAGTAACCGATCATAGCGCCGTCATTCTTAACTTAAGCCTTAAAATATCGAAACCTAATTGTAAGTACTCTATTACTACAAGCAATTCAAAACATTGACTTTAGCCCAGTTTATAAAACCTATGACGTAAACATTTATTTGCCTTACTTAATAAATAACGTACGAAATGCCATTGCTAGCAATACTTCGTATAGAACAGTAGCTAAAAAAATAATAACTTAAAGCCTTGGATTACACCTGGCCTGATTAGGTGCATGAAACACAGGGACAAACTACACTTGATGGCAAAGTCCTCTTCAGATAATTCCGTTTTACAAATTTCATATAAAAGATATAGGAATTTTTGTAACAATTTATTAAAAAAGTTGAAGTATAATTATCTTACAAACTTACTAGAAGAGTCTGGTAGAGATAATAAAAAGATTTGGCGGCGTGTAAAAGATATTGCATTTATTTCCAAACAGCATGAATCTTCGTCAGAATTATTACAAAATAATGCCTCGCCGCTTATATCAGCAAATACAGCAAATAATTACTTTGTGAATGTTGGTAAAAATCTGGCTGAGCAGATAACAAAAAATTCTAACAATGATCGTGAATACAGGGCCACTTTCTTAACTCAAAAAAACTGCCAATTAAGCTCGTTCACATTATTAGATACGGAACCTAGTGAGGTGGAAAGGATTATAATGGGACTGAAAGAAACAAGCGCGGTTGGATGGGATGGCATACCCATTAGTATATTAAAAAAATATAGACAAATTCTAGTACCACCATTAACCCATATTGTCAGAATTTGTCTCTCTGAAGGAATTTTCCCAGATTGTTTAAATAAAGCAATTGTAGTTCCAGTATTCAAATCGGGGAACAAAAAAAACGTTTCCAATTATCGGCCTATCTCGATACTCTCATCCACGTCTAAAATATTAGAAAAAATTAATTAACAAAAGATTAATGAATTATTTACAAAGTAAATCCATATTATCGAATATGCAATATGGTTTCAGGCCTAAACTGTCCACTGCTGATGCTGTGCAGGAAATGACCGATTACGTCTCTTAAGAATTAGATAAAGGTAACCAATCAATTGGCATTTTCCTTGACCTTGCAAAAGCATTTGATACGGTTTCTATTCCTATCCTATTAAATAAGTTAGAGAACATAGGTATTCGAGGTAAGCAGCTTCAACTTTTTGAGAATTATTTAGAAAATCGATATCAATACATAAAAATCGATAAGGTTGTTAGCTCTGAACAAAAAAATATTCATTTTGGCGTGCCTCAAGGAAGTGTATTAGGGCCAACCCTATTTTTGATTTATATGAATGACCTTTGCAATCTTGAACTTAACTCAGGTAAAATAATATCTTACGCAGATGATACCGTGCTACTTTTTCCGCAAGTACAGTGGACAAGGTTTATTTTTTTGTTTATTTTTTTGTTCAGATATATATATATGATTTGTTGTTGAGATAGGCCGATAATTGGAAACGTTTATTTTGTTCCCCGATTTGAATACTGGAACTACAATTGCTTTTTTTAAACAATCTGGGAAAATTCCTTCAGAGAGACAAATTCTGACAATATGGGTTAATGGTGGTACTAGAATTTGTCTATATTTTTTTAATATACTAATGGGTATGCCATCCCATCCAACCGCGCTTGTTTCTTTCAGTCCCATTATAATCCTTTCCACCTCACTAGGTTCCGTATCTAATAATGTGAACGAGCTTAATTGGCAGTTTTTTTGAGTTAAGAAAGTGGCCCTGTATTCACGATTATTGTTAGAATTTTTTGTTATCTGCTCAGCCAGATTTTTACCAACATTCACAAAGTAATTATTTGCTGTATTTGCTGATATAAGCGGCGAGGCATTATTTTGTAATAAATCTGACGAAGATTCATGCTGTTTGGAAATAAATGCAATATCTTTTACATACTGCCAAATTTTTTTATATGCTCAGCAAGGTTTTGATAGAGTTAATAAATGGCTCCAACAAAACATATTAACACTGAATACGGACAAAACCAAATATATTCATTTTTCTATGTGCAGATCAACCCAGCATACAACCGTTCCAGAAATTTATGCACATCAATATTACTCAGTCACAGAGTCTAAATGTTACTGCCCAGTCATTTCTAATACAAAAAATATAAAGTACCTTGGAATAATTATAGATTCTACCACATTTAAAAACCACATAAACGACCTATGCAATAGAGTTCGTAAACTAATGTTTGTTTTTAAAAAAAATCGTTCTTTTGCTGATATTAAGGTAATAAAACAAGTATATTACGCATTATGTCAGTCAATACTTACCTATTGTATAACCTCTTGGGGTGGAGCAGCTAAAACTACACTGCTACCACTGGAACGCGCTCAAAGAGCTGTATTAAAAGTTGCAACATTCCGCCCTATTCTATTTCCATCCCATCTCTTATACAAATCCTATAATGTCCTCTCCGTGCGCCAGTTATTCGTTATGAGTACGTTACTAAAACAGCACTTAAAATTGCCCTACAGAAGAGAGGTCACTGATAAACGACGCAAAGATATAGTAATTAAAACTAACATTAGAATAAGGCATTATTTCATGCATAGATTTTTTACATTCCTCGGCCCTTTTTTTGTATAATCAAGTCAATACAATTTTGTACATATATCCATTAAAAATGACAAACTGTAAAAAGGTAATTCAAACATGGTTACAAAATTTGTCATACGATGATACGGAGAAGTTGCTGATTGTTTTAAGTTAATTAATATCATAAGTAAATCAATGATGATATATTTTACCCACATAACTCTTATTAGTTAGTACGTTATTCATTTTATATAAGAAACAGAAAATATTTGTTAATGTATCTTTTAGCACATACACCTGAGATACAGGTTTATCCTAGTTCAGGTGCCTGTCATTGTAGACTTTTTTTAAGTTAAGACTTATTGGAATAATTTGTACAGTTTATCAAAATAAAATAAATTATTATTATTAAATTATTATTAAAAATTATTATATAAATTGTAATGATTGGTTAATAAAATCTTCTTTCAACGCTGGACGACGTCTTCGTTATTATCGCCGACACTCCTGGTAAGACCTCCCGCTCCCTGCGGCCAAGACACCTTTAACCATCAGAACCTCTGATCAGTATTGTGAGTCTGCTTGACTAGAAGTGGGAGAACCCCATCACATAACCCAGACATCCTGTCTCTGTCATCTTTTCCGTAGGTCTCATGGTGCAGACATCCCGTACCTAATGATTTCTTATATTTACGCGAACACTACACATTGATTAAAACTACTTTTACGGACTTTATCGCGTTTATTTTTACTTTTAATTATTTTTATTTTTAATTCCCAACGTTTCGGGTTCTTTCCAGCACCCATCGTCATGGGGGACTGAGGTGACTGACGTCCCGATGTCATTGTTAAAACCGGAGTAACTTCAGCTTTTTTAAATATTGTTTATGGTCCGATCTATGCAAAATGAACTGATTATGTCCCGAGGTCTTGCAATGTTATGCTTGGTTTTAGTTTTTAGTACCCAGCCTCCTTCTCTATTGAAATTAGGATATTTTTTAATTTCAATAGCCTCACGTATCATCCTTGGTAGGAATCGGTGTTCTTTCGCGAGGATTTGTGGTCTATTAAATCTGATGTAATGGTTGGGGCCGTCTAGGATATGATCGCAAACTGCAGACTTGCCGGAACGTTGATGCTTCACAAAAGATCAATTAGAACCCCGTAAAAGAACATATGTGATGTGATGCTTCACATGTATTAGGGACTGCTAGGAACCGTTAGTATAGGAAACCTAGTTAGGGTCTGTAGGATCCAATACTTCCTCCTACTATACTCATGTGCAGCCAGGTAGCCGAGCTATCGAAGGCTAAATGGGTCAATATTTAAACGTAAAGCTAACTGATTATACAAGGATAGATGTAGAAGTCTATGAGCCACAGTATTCACTTACCATCATGTAAACTGTGTGCTCATTTGTTGTTGCATCATTTTTGTAAAAAAATATGTGAATGTTTCCTGAACATGCTGAAAGTACTCTAACGATAACCACATTAAAAGCAGCTCTGTTATCATAACCACAGCCCCTTACAAGTCCACTACTGAACGTAACCTGGCCCTAAGGAACACCACAAAATATAATTCTTAACTACCTACACCATCGACTCGCCATGCAACATGTCTTACCAGGCCATTACTTCCTTACTTGGTCGTCAGCTAGCTCTGTGCTGGTACCAAATATATACAGGCATGTTATTTTTTCGCTTTCCATAATATAAACGTTATCTGCGAACTTCCCTACTGCTTAGTAACCGCCTTGCTTTGCTGTGCTGATCTCGTTGTGACGGTGTAATATTATCCACTACCTCATGTCAGCCCGTTGGTGTCATAAGAGATGACAAGGTGAAACAGACCAAGATATGAGCTGCAGCGTCTCCTTAATAATCACAAAGTAAAAACTGCAATTGCCATTCCGCCCGCCAAGCGTGGCAAATATTCCCCTTACGAGGCTAGTATAGAGGGCTATGCTCGGAGTTTCTCTGCGTGATAAACTTAGAAATGAGGATATCCGCAGTAGAACCAGAGTGACCGACGTAGCCCAACGGATTAGTAAGCTGAAGTGGCAATGGGCCGGCCATATAGCTCGAAGAACCGACAACCGTTGGGGAAAAAAGTTCTCGAGTGGCAGCCTCGTACCGGTAGATGAAGTGTAGGGCGACCCCCCACTAGATGGAGTGACGACCTGGTAAGACATGCAGGAAGTCGATGGATGCAGGTGGCTCAGGACCGTGCTTTGTGGCATACCTTGGGGGAGGCCTATGTTCAGCAGTGGACTTGTAAAGTGCTGTAATAATGATGATGATGTAGATTTAAGAGATTGTAAACTGTAGTTGACAGTCAGGATGTGGACAAATGAGTAATAGTTTTACAAAAAAGCTGAAATTGTCAAATTTTTCCATAGCGTACCAACAAAAGACGAAAGACTTTTGATCAGTACCGACTTAACTATATTTATCTATGGTGCCAAATGCCTTGTTCTTCGTTGGTATTACTTGATTTGCTAAGAATACCTCAGTTTCTGTTGTGGATAAGATTTCGAAGATTCTGTCGTAGATATATATCGATGACGGCTCCGTGGCGCAGTGGCTTAGCAATGAGTTACAGCGCTAAGGGCCGCGGGTTCGAATCCCGCACGTAACAAATATTTGTGTGTCCTACAAGTAATTGTTCCGGGTCTGGATGTTTGTCCTTGTGAAATTTATGTTTGTAAACTGCCCCCACGATACAGGAGAAAATCCTAGTGTGGAGGTAACGTTTAAAAGAGAAGAAGAAGAAGAAGATAAGACTTCTAATGAAAAGTTGATCACACAAGGAGAATTGTCGTTCGCTGTGGGGCTTGTGTGTTCGCTGCGTAGTTGTGGCGCACGTACCTGCGCACGCACTGGCGCGAGTGCGTGCAGAGGCGTGCGTCGGCGCGGCAGTGCGGCGCGCACGCCGCCTCGTCTGACCCGTCCGCACATTCCGCCGCGCCCGAGCATCGCAGCGCGCCGCGGATACACTCGCCGTTGTCACACCTGCACACTTACTACTTCACTCACCACTCAACGCTCAAACGAAAACTATTTAGTTTTCTTCAAAGACGTGTCTACATATAATACATGTTACAGCTGTATGTACATTAAGTTACGGTCAATAACCCGTAGCTTCTTTAGTTGGCTGCGATCGTTGTTTCAAACAATCTATTACTGATTTTGTGTGATGTAGCTAGAAAACGCGGTCATTATTTATGTGTGCACTTTGTCAACGTGATTTGAAGTTTATTTGGGATAAGTATCATCTACGTGTCTCTACTAATCTCAATTTTGTTACCCGGAAATATGTAATGCAATAACATGTAATGCAACGCACAATCGTCAAGTTATTTCACAACTTGAGTTTTTTACATATTTCCGCGGCAAATGTATGCTGTATGTATAAATATTTTAAAATCAGTTCGCTTATAGCTATCAAGGGCGCTACGCGTACTAGTTATTAGTAGTTCTGCCCTTTATTTTGAAAACTTTTCCACAATATATTTTTATTAAACTTATCAGACGTTATCAGTTCATTATCCCCTTAGCGTCGGGTCGGTACTACCCCGAACATTGCTTATTTGTCTAAATATAGTGTCGTAATTGAACACAACTATGTGACATATTTATCGTGACAGCTACTCGCTCAATGCACAGTTTTTTTTTTCTAAATTGCCAGTCTAGAAATATAATACATAGAAGTCTTTGGATAATACTTATTCTTTTTAATCCTTTAAGAAATATTAAGAAAAACTACTTCAATTTGACCGTGTAGAGGCGGTGTATAAATATCCACTAGCTCATAACGTCTCGTCGGTGTAGCAAGAGGTGATAAAGGGAAACCAACCAGGAGGTGGGTAGCAGCATCTTCCTGATAACAACTCAAGTTATAAAAAAGACTGCGGTTGCCAACACGCTTGCCAAGCGTGCCGAAAAACCTCTCTATAAGGCAATCTATAGAAGGGAGGGGGGGGGGGGGAGATGTTCAACAGTGGTCTTTATAGGTTGTAATGGATGGATGAACGAAAAAAAAGAAAGTGTAGAGAAATACTCACCGGAACTCAGATTCGGAGCAGTTGCGCGGCGTACAGTCGATCTCGTCAGCGCCGTCGCCGCAGTCGTCCTCGAAGTCACAGCGCCAGCGGCCCGGGATGCAGTGCGCGTCCGGGCAGCGGAAGTACGTCGGATCGCAGGCCGCCGCCGCACCGCCCGCACCCCCCGACCCGCACTGAGCCTCGTCCTCGCGGCCCGGGCAGTCCGCCTGCAAGCGAGTGAGCGCGCGAGAGCATCAGCGAGTGCAGCGCAATGTGCAGGACGTGCTTATTTTTTAATAAGCACGCCCTGCACATTGCGCTGCACTGCTGCGCTGCTTTTAAGCGTTGCTGCACACTAGCAAATCAATCTTATAAAAATTATATAAAGAAGACAGAAGATAGTATTAAGTCGAACCCTAAACTTTTTTGGTCATTTATTAAGGCAAAGAAGTACGGGAAAAGTAATTATCCTTGTACAATGACTGATGGTATTAAGAAGTCATCTAGTCCTAGGGAAATCTGCGACTTATTTGCGTCCTACTTTGGAGCTGTGTATAATTCTCAAGATAACATAAACTCAGACTTGAATGTCAGCCAATGGAATTTGATTTGCAATTACAGCCTTGAACTAACTGCTCCCTACCTTAGCAAGGATCAGATACTGAAGAACATGAAGTCCCTAGATCTTAATAAGGGCCCAGGACCAGATTGTGTCCCTCCTTTATTTATTAAGGCATGTGCGGATGAGCTAGTGACGCCTATATATCTAATTTTTAAGAAGTCTCTTCAATCCGGCCTATTTCCTGATGTTTGGAAGTTCGCCAAGGTTGTTCCCATTCACAAGGCCGATAACGTCGAGGTGGTAGGTAATTATAGGCCTATTTCTATACTGTCAACTTTAAGTAAATTATTTGAATCTCTTGTTTATCATGCGCTGCAGAACCACTTGAATCATTATCTTACTGAGTGGCAGCACGGTTTTGTTAGATTTAGGTCAACCTGTTCCAATCTGACCTTGTTTACTGAAACTTTGGTAGAAGCAGTAGATAACGGTAGGGATGTTGATGTAATATATACAGACCTTAGTAAGGCATTCGACAAAGTACCTCATAATATTCTTATATCTAAATTGCGTGCATATGGTATTACTGGCTCATTAATGGGATGGCTGCAGTCGTATCTAGATAATCGTAGTTTTAGTGTGGTCGTTAATGGTTTTCAGTCTGTACCATACAAAATTACGTCGGGGGTTCCTCAGGGATCACATTTAGGTCCTCTGCTTTTCAACACCTTCATCAATGACATCCCTAGTTGCTTCCAGTTCTCCACACCATTTATGTATGCCGATGATTTGAAATTGGTTGGCATCTGCGAAACTCTAGAGGACATTGAACAGTTTCAAAGTGATGTTGACCGTATGGTAAATTGGTGTCGAGACAATGGTATGCACCTGAACATAAACAAGTGCTACCATATGAAATTCAGTAGAAAGATCAAGTCACTGAACACATCATACAAAATTAACGGCCACATGGGCATTAAGAAAATGGAGGAAGTCAAAGACCTGGGAATAGTGTTCGATAAAAAATTAACCTTCGTTCCCCACATCTAGAATATTACAAAAAAGGCGTATAGAATGCTAGGCTTTGTTTTGCGTAACGCAAAAGTGTTTAAAAATAATCACATTAAGATCCTACTGTACAACAGCCTCGTACGAAGCATACTTGAGTATTGCAGTGTAGTATGGAGGCCACATTACGCGACACACTCCTTACGATTGGAGCGTCTGCAAAAAAAGTTCGTGGCAAATTTGACCTATTGGAATGGGATTCACAAAAAAATTCGGGCTTACGAAAAACGATTAAGATTCTTTAAAATTTTATCCCTGGAAAATCGGAGAAATTTGCTTGACCTGTCATTTCTTGTAAAAATTTTTAATCAAAAAATTAACTGTCCCCTCTTGCTCCAAAAATTTAAATTTCGTGTTCCATTGAGGATTCCTCGCGCCCCTATTACTCCACTTTGCCCTCCTTTTAGAAAATCTGTCTTAGGTGCAAACTCCCCAATTCCAAGGTTGTGCAAATTGGTCAATGGACATAGTGACAAAGTTGACATTCACGCCGACTCACTTGCCAAAATTAAGGAAGTTCTAGCTTTAGCCTGGTCTGAAACCAACAAATAAATAATAACAGTTCTTACCACGTACTTTTTTCATTATTAGGTAATTTATACTTTTTTATTCGTATTTATAATCTTTCTCGATGCATGTGGTGTTTACCTTAAACGATTGTTACACTTAGCTACGTAAATTAGTTCTTAAGCCATTTTGTTAAATACAGTTAAAAAATAGTAATCAAACATTGGTAAACCTTAATAAATTAAAAAAAAAATAATAATGTCCTCCAGACCGAATTCCGATCACGGCGGCCAGTCTCAACGAACACTAGCCATCTGCGCAGCACAGCATTATAGAGTCCGAGTGTGTGTGCTAATATACGTGCAGTAGCTCGTGCACTCTCTGTTCCATAATTCTCATCGTCTTATTTTTAAATCTGAATCCAGGCTGCTAATGAGAATTTTTTGACAGAAAAATCCAATGACTGAATTTGCTCCAACCCTGGATTCCAATCCAGGACTTGATGATCAGAAACCGTGTTTAAGACCACTGATCTAAAAAGCAGTAGATTTTTTTATAGAATAAGTATGTGAAACGAGCACACTACACCTGATGGTAGGTAGATGCTTGTGGACCATACACACATACATCTTCCATCTTCAATTAAGAATGAAAATGTAAATGTGTTGTCACCCATATGGACTAAAATGAAATGCTTCACATTCAGTAATAAGGGTATCCGGTTCTCTATACTCATTTTTGCTATTATACGTGCATGGCGTGGGCATTCCCCGATTGAGTCAACTCATTCGTGTTGGAACCATAGCTGTAGCGTGGCTCTATTCTGTATAAAAATGTGTGACTGTGTGCGCATGCGTGTGCGTGCCTTCAGGTAGCAGAGCCAGTCTCGCAGGATGTAGCGTTTCACGTTGGAATTCTGCGAGAGCGTAATTCTCCCCTGGTGGAGCCGACCCATTCGTGCTACGACCATAATATAGCTGTAGCGTGGTTCTAGAACGTTTGAGCGCGCGTGTGTGTTTGCATATGCGTATGCGTGCACGTGTATGTGCGTGCGCACCTCCGCGTCGCAGAGCCAGTCGCGCGGGATGCAGCGGCCCGAGGCGCAGCGGAACTCGTCGCGCGCGCAGCTACGCGCCCTGCACACGGTGCCCTCGTCCGAGCCGTCGCCGCAGTCCGAGTCCTCGTCGCACACCCACACGTCTGGCACGCAAGCGCCGTTCGCGCACGTGAACTGTCATAACCAGAACAACGACTGTTTGTGTAATACATAATATAGGCAGAAATGTCAAATAGTGCGAATGGTTAGGCGAGGCTCATCAATAGACGTTGAATCCAAACTATTTTCTTGTACAGTTCATACATTTTTTTTGATAAGGAAATAATATATAGCATGTTTCAAAGATAAATAAAATGCATTTATGTCGTCCTAGTTACATATTTAGTGTTCTATACAGAAAACAGTCATAAAATAGTACAATAAATATGAATCACTTCGATATCTGTCAATCATAGGTTTTATTGAGAGTGGTTCACGTATTGACATTGTGGACAAGAAATACTGGTCGTGTATAGTATGTATATCGATGTTTTCGTATTGATATGATAAAATAAATATATTGATCTTGCAAGCCGGACAGTACCAAGAATTGACGGCCTTTGTCAAAGAAACAGTTAATATCATTACATATAGATGTGTCAGTGCAGATTTTATACAATATGAAAGCTCTAACTGACGTGGTGCGGCGGGCAGGTGCGCGGCGGGCAGTCGAGCTCGTCGTCCCCGTCGTGGCAGTCGCGGCGGCCGTCGCAGCGGGCCGCGGCGGGCACGCAGCGGGCCGCCACGTGCGCGGTGGCGTTGGCGCGGCACTTGATGTGCGCCGCGAGGCAGGCGAAGGCGTCGCAGTCGCGCTCGTCGCTGCCATCGCGGCAGTGCGGCGTGCCGTCGCAGATGTGCGCCGGATGCGCGCACTGCCCGCTGCCGCACTGGAACTGGCCGGGCGCGCAGCGGAACCGCGGGCACCACGCCGGCTCGTCCGACCCGTCGCCGCAGTCGTCCTGCGCAGTGCGCACACATCCGCTCTCGATAACGATACCGACACAGCGCTCAAATACGAACATTACACTGCCATGCTAGAGCCATGGATTACGGTTGCAGCACGAATAATGTCGGCTCAACCGAGGTGGGACCACGCTCTCACTGTGTTTCGTATGGTGAGTGTAACGAGCCGGAGACCCTTTTTACTGTATACGACACATTCCGCCTTAGTCCTCAGGTGTGAAACACAACAGCATTAAGCTGCCATTTTACACTAGTATTCTGCAAGAGAGTAGTCCTTCGTAGTAAGAAAGAATATAATAAGTTATTCTCTATTTGTAAAATTTTACCGGTAGAACACAAAGTTAACACGCTATTAGTTTTGGAAAACATTAATAAAAACTATTATAACGATAAACTGGATAATAAATATAGAACCAGGAAAAGTAGAGATGTGATGAGTGTCTATAGGATAATGATGTAGTTGGTGATAGTACTGCCGTATGGTGGTGGCGTAAGAAAATACATCAGCTCATTTAGTCACGTCAGATCTAGCTTGAGTGTCGTAAGGGGTGAGGTGGGAAAAACGACGGCTGTTAGCAATCTCCCCTATGTCAGACAAAAAATACTCTAACGAAGGGCAGCAGTGTCAAAAGTCACAGACATCTTGTTCTACAGCGATCATCAATCTGGAGGCCAAGCAAGTCTATATACAGTCTTGCGCGGGTAGACATGTGTCAATCGTGAATGATTCGTCCATTTCACCCGGATCGCATCAAAGTATTGATGATTGCAATAACGTTTTTTGAACGTTCCGGATCAAACAATTGACAGGACCTATGACTGAAGAGTATAGTAACGTCCGACGACCGACATTACCGAGCTGGTCTCATAGATCACAGAGAATTGAAACTCGAAATGATCCATTTGAATGATCAATCCCAATAACCCGGTTCGTAAGACGAATCTATACCTACTTGAATGCTCGGGTCACTAGAAATGAATGAATGACACATGCTTACTAAATAAGCTCACTTGCATGTGGTAGCACCTTGCCAATGAAGAATGGGATTCTAGCAGTTAATACATAAATGTAGCGCATGTACCATTTTAAGTTCCATAGGGAAATTATTTCAGCCTAGTGTTAAAAACTACTATGGTAAAAGATGTACAAAATATTTAATACCAAAGGATAATAATGAAATAGATTGGCTAAGGGAAGGTAGACCTAATTGCAAATTAACAATTAAAAAGAAACTTGGGAATTATTTTTTGGATAAAATGCTAGATGTGATGACCATGCAGAAAACTGTTATTTGTTTGTGATATTTGAAAAATATATCCGGATTATGTTTAGATTTTTTATTTTATTTTTTATTTTGTTGCAATGTTATGTGGGTGGGGTGTTGTATTGGAACTGATAGAGTGTGGAAATTATAGCGTTCATGTTTAAATTTTCTATTTGTTTGTTATATTATGTGGGTTGAGTACTTTTTTAATTATGTAATTAGGATATAAGAGTGCATTTATTCGCCAACAAACTGTCTACAGTTTGGCAAAGTTATAAAATTATGTAATGTTTTTTCTGTAACTGTCATTAAATAAATAAAAGTAAATTAATTATTCCCCATTCGAGTCGACCCATTCACGCTACAACCATTATATAGCTGCCACGTAACTCTAGCACATACATAATAAAAGCAAAACCTCACCTGTGTATCACATCGCCACCAGAACGGTATACACTTAAGCGTGGTGCGGCAGACGAACTGCGCGGTGGTGCAGTTGGGCGTGCAGGAGCGGCCGTCCGCCGCCAGCACGAAGTGTTCGGGGCACTCGCAGCGCGCCGTCGCTCCTGCTCCCTCCTCGCCGGGCACCAGCAGGCACAGCCCCGAGCAGGTCAACCGCTCACACAGTGCCGTTAGCTCTGTCCGACAACAAGCAGGTCGGCAAACGCTTTTTTTATTTTTAGTCTAGTTAGGTAATCTGGAACACGCTGCTGCCCGTGTCCTGATTTGTTTCCATCTGTCGCCTCTTACGACTCCCGCGAGACGATACAGGTTAGTGGATGTTCTCATACCGCCGAAACACGGTAAATAGTAAAGTGTATTGTATTGCATTGTGTATTGTAACAGGAGCGGCATTATCCTACATACCTGGTGAAGGAGGCTGTCTTGCGGGATGGTAAACGCGCAGGTCCATGGGCTTGTGCACGGTACGCGTCTCCGTGCGGCAGCGCCATGCGCCGCCCAGCTCCAGCTCCACGCTGCTGTTACTTTCCTGTAGATAGAACTCTTCCTCAATTATCAGCCTGATCGTTAGAGGTTCCAGGATGCAGTAGCTTAGGCTTAGAGTTCAGTCGTGGAACTGAGGGCAGCAGGTTCGAATCTCACATGGAACAATTGTACCAGGTATTTATAGGTGTAAATATAACTCCATGATATAGGAGAAAAACCTATTTTTATTAGATTTTCTTTTTATAATAATGTTACCCCCAAACATTATTTATACTAATAAAATTATTAGGGCGACAGCAGCCTAACGTTAGTATGCGGATCATGAACTCATAGCTTGTGAATTAAATCCGCCATTCGACTACTGTCGTGAAATTTTAAACCCAACTGAAGAAGTAAAAAGGGAATATTAATATCATTGCTAGTAGTTTTTTAAATACTATTTAATCCTGCCAAAGAAAAAATTACAAGTCGCACTGAAAATAAACCGGGCCAGGCGCACTTTAGATACGAAATTAAAAAAAGGTGGACCCCCTTATAACAACCAAGGTAAAAAACCAAAGGGGGTCCTTTGGGTTTTTGCCTTGGTTATTATGTTTCTCGCTCGTGTCGTAAAAAATATTCGTTATACGAAGATCAACCTAATATAACACGCGTCGAATAGAAAGAGAGGCGCCGTGCACGTGCACGTGATATTAGACGCTGAACGCTGTGTAAAGATCTTGCGAATGTAACACGCGTCCAATAGAAAGAGAGGCGCCGTGCACGTGCACGTGATATTAGACGCTGAACGCTGTGTAAAGATCTTGCGAATGTAACACGCGTCGAATAGAAAGAGAGGCGCCGTGCACGTGCAGGTGATATTAGACGCTGAACGCTGTGTAAAGATCTTGCGAATGTAACACGCGTCGAATAGAAAGAGAGGCGCCGTGCACGTGCACGTGATATTAGACGCTGAACGCTGTGTAAAGATCTTGCGAATGTAACACGCGTCGAATAGAAAGAGAGGCGCCGTGCACGTGCAGGTGATATTAGACGCTGAACGCTGTGTAAAGATCTTGCGAATGTAACACGCGTCGAACAGAAAGAGAGGCGCCGTGCACGTGCACGTGATATTAGACGCTGAACGCTGTGTAAAGATCTTGCGAATGTAACACGCGTCCAATAGAAAGAGAGGCGCCGTGCACGTGCACGTGATATTAGACGCTGAACGCTGTGTAAAGATCTTGCGAATGTAACACGCGTCGAATAGAAAGAGAGGCGCCGTGCACGTGCACGTGATATTAGACGCTGAACGCTGTGTAAAGATCTTGCGAATGTAACACGCGTCCAATAGAAAGAGAGGCGCCGTGCACGTGCAGGTGATATTAGACGCTGAACGCTGTGTAAAGATCTTGCGAATGTAACACTCGTCGAATAGAAAGAGAGGCGCCGTGCACGTGCAGGTGATATTAGACGCTGAACGCTGTGTAAAGATCTTGCGAATGTAACACTCGTCGAATAGAAAGAGAGGCGCCGTGCACGTGCAGGTGATATTAGACGCTGAACGCTGTGTAAAGATCTTGCGAATGTAACACTCGTCGAATAGAAAGAGAGGCGCCGTGCACGTGCAGGTGATATTAGACGCTGAACGCTGTGTAAAGATCTTGCGAATGTAACACGCGTCGAATAGAAAGAGAGGCGCCGTGCACGTGCACGTGATATTAGACGCTGAACGCTGTGTAAAGATCTTGCGAATGTAACACGCGTCGAATAGAAAGAGAGGCGCCGTGCACGTGCAGGTGATATTAGACGCTGAACGCTGTGTAAAGATCTTGCGAATGTAACACGCGTCGAATAGAAAGAGAGGCGCCGTGCACGTGCACGTGATATTAGACGCTGAACGCTGTGTAAAGATCTTGCGAATGTAACACGCGTCCAATAGAAAGAGAGGCGCCGTGCACGTGCACGTGATATTAGACGCTGAACGCTGTGTAAAGATCTTGCGAATGTAACACGCGTCCAATAGAAAGAGAGGCGCCGTGCACGTGCACGTGATATTAGACGCTGAACGCTGTGTAAAGATCTTGCGAATGTAACACGCGTCGAATAGAAAGAGAGGCGCCGTGCACGTGCACGTGATATTAGACGCTGAACGCTGTGTAAAGATCTTGCGAATGTAACACGCGTCGAATAGAAAGAGAGGCGCCGTGCACGTGCACGTGATATTAGACGCTGAACGCTGTGTAAAGATCTTGCGAATGTAACACGCGTCGAATAGAAAGAGAGGCGCCGTGCACGTGCAGGTGATATTAGACGCTGAACGCTGTGTAAAGATCTTGCGAATGTAACACGCGTCGAATAGAAAGAGAGGCGCCGTGCACGTGCAGGTGATATTAGACGCTGAACGCTGTGTAAAGATCTTGCGAATGTAACACGCGTCGAATAGAAAGAGAGGCGCCGTGCACGTGCAGGTGATATTAGACGCTGAACGCTGTGTAAAGATCTTGCGAATGTAACACGCGTCGAATAGAAAGAGAGGCGCCGTGCACGTGCACGTGATATTAGACGCTGAACGCTGTGTAAAGATCTTGCGAATGTAACACGCGTCGAATAGAAAGAGAGGCGCCGTGCACGTGCACGTGATATTAGACGCTGAACGCTGTGTAAAGATCTTGCGAATGTAACACGCGTCGAATAGAAAGAGAGGCGCCGTGCACGTGCACGTGATATTAGACGCTGAACGCTGTGTAAAGATCTTGCGAATGTAACACGCGTCGAATAGAAAGAGAGGCGCCGTGCACGTGCACGTGATATTAGACGCTGAACGCTGTGTAAAGATCTTGCGAATTGCTCCTTTCGTTTCTTATATTATTTTATATTCTGTAATCTAACTGCTGAACTACTGAACAAAATTTTCTACCAATTATAAAATACATGGAGATAAGATTTTACGACAAACTTCAGTGATTGATCACGGAGCGATTATTTATTTTTATATAAAAATCTAAATGGAGAACTCAATAATTTAGTTCTTTGTACAAAATGAAAGTGAATGTAGGAGTTTTCTATTGCTTAGCTGCAATAAAAATATCCGATTTCTAGCACGATACAAAAAGGCAACAAAACGGAGGTTTTCTTGTGCACCCTTGTTTCCTTATTGTAAGTGTGACAAACTATTTAACAACCAACCTGATGTTGCAGGCTACTGCACCCCATAACGCTTGTGATTAAGCTAAGAATATTTTAAAATTAGATAAAATAAAATAAGATATGATAATAAACAAGGCTACAGTTAAATTATCATATTCGATTAATAAGATACAACACCTTACAGCCTGTAACTATATTTAATATCTTATTATTCAAGCTGGAGTATAGCAGTGCGTGCACTGCTGCTAGGTAGCCGAAAAGAGAAAAAGTATATAATACTATTCTGTAAATTAATCAATATATTACGACACCCAACTGATAGCGAGATCTATTCAACCCAAATTTCAGAAACTGGTGATGGTAAAAAGCACTTGAAATGCGAGGGTATCGGCTGCTTGCTTTCAATTATAATAGCTTGGAGTAAGTATTCCGAGTAATGCGTTTGTGCTTAATGCGTGCGTGCCTGGTAGTGCGGGTCGGGGCGACGACGGCAGCTCTCGAGCGCGCGCGTCTCCCAGTCGCTCCAGTACACGCGGCCCGCCCACACCGCCAGCGCGAACACGTGGTGCAGCCGCAGCCACGGCATCTGCTCTGCAACAAGCACAGATCGCACATTCAAAACATCCTCCTCGATCTAGTTGTGAGTCTAGTTCAATTGGTACACCTCATGAAATACTATTTATTTGTATGAATCTCCAATAGTTATACATATTACTTACATCTAACACATGCCTTACATCTACAAAAAACTATGTACCACCAATTATAGGAGAACACATCATTCTATAACAATATCAATGTTTATAATTTGCCCATAAGGGATTAACCACTTTTAAAATGGTATTAATTTTGATCGTAGGTAGGACAAAAATATGTTTGGTGAACAAAAGATACATAAACTTTAAAATAGTAAAATAGGAATAATATATTTTGTAACAAAAGTAATAGCTAAGTTTTGCATAAAGTTAATGACTAAATAATTTTCTAAACTATCGTTACATTTTTTCATAGAAAGTGAGAACCAGTCACAACCAATGTCCAGTGGTGCTATTTTTAAACATGCGTTATATATATGCGTGATATACATGTACGTGTTACGGGAGCATTTTGTACAAGTTTTGTTCGAGTGCTATCAGCCTTAAAAATAGTACGTGGGTTGCGAGGAAGTCTCCGAGGTACATTATTATTAAATTTACTCAACAGTTCTCTGTCATCTATTTTACCATAGAAAGTTTATGAAGAAATTTCATATCAAGAAGAGATCCACAAACTGCCAGTGGTTTCATCCTAAAGTAATCGAATTTCTCATTGTAGCATACACTATCACTGGAAACCTTAAAACGAAAGATTGTTTAGTAAGTCCCTTTTGAACATGTTCGATTCTTTCAATATGGTTTTTGTAAGCGTGAGATCATACTTGACAACAATATTCAAGTTTACCACGGTCCAAGTTGTTGTACAGTTGAAGGATTATTGTTACCTTTTCGAAATCTTTAGATTGTTTAATAACAAAGCCGAAAAACTTAAAAAAAAATGTCACTTTAGAATTAATATGTTGATCGAATTTTAATTTGCTATCAAATATTACGCCCAGATCTCTAATGGAATCGGTTTCCTTCCATTTTTTACCCAAGATATTGTAAGTACTCAACAATGGATTTTTTTCCTTATGAAGTTGCAACTATTTTATGTAATGTGTAAAAGATACATCGTTCATCACCATCATCGTCATCATTACAGGATGAGACGGACGAGTTAAGAGACTGTCATCAGAGAGAACTATCAGAGTGAAGCAGATCACTGGCGCAGCGCAGCCTCACCTCTGGAGAAGAGTATACGCATGTGGTTGCCGTCGAGGTCGGCGACGGCGATGAAGTCCTCGCGCGCGTCCGCGAAGTAGAGCTCGTTGGCCTGGGGCAGCAGCGTGAGCGCGTTGGGCCAGCCCAGGCCGGTCGCCAGCAGCACGCGGCGCGCCGAGCCGTCCATGCCGCAGCGCCCGATGTGTGCGCGCGCGCCCCAGTCCGACCAGTACAGCCGCCTGCGCACCGAGCGAGCTGTGTACTGCTGGACCACTGGGCTGTTGGTGCGCACCAGGCACCAGGCACACGGCCCGTCCCAACCGAACACTTCTATGTATACTTATTACTAGACGAATACTATAATACCTACTAATGCATAGAAAATTAAATTACGCTCAATTCTCCGAAACTCCTTTAGTCGACTGCGAGCTACCCACAAAATTAGTTCTTTATTTTGTAAACCACGAACGTTGTTTTCGAAAATTTAACACTGATTTTGGTAAACATGAGTAGGAAAATGCTGTCATTATATTTATCAGCGCTATTATTGTTTTTATCAACTTGATTTAAAGTTTATTTCGGATAAATATTTAAGTTTGTTTAGTATATGCCAAAAACCAGAAACTATCGTGTATGAAAACACAACTGCGTTGCATATTTACCGTACAAACTACCGGGGGTCCAGTATACAACTATGACACACTTTTTGTTCTGAATTGTCCAAGTAGTAGTTTAGTTGTCTTTGTTATATACAAATATTATTTATTCATTAGGTTTTGTGTTATTTATAATTCAACAACTGACTGCAACACTTATTCAAATTGTTATTATAAAAATTAAGAATGCTACTTATCGTTTTAGTCAGACACTTACTTCACTTTCACGTTGTCTTTGGTATATTAGACCCTATTTTACCGGAAACGAGCATTCCATCTTAGTTCTCTTTAATTCTTATTAAGTAAGGTGGTGGAAGGTGTTTTAGGACCATCAAGTGGACCGTGTGCTCGTTTGTCACGCTTAATCTATAAAAAAATTATACACGTAAGGGTTTGGTCGCGGGGCCCGTTTTGTAGTATACACACAAGTCTTTGGTATGTAAGGAATCAGGTAAAACTCTTACCCTCGGCAGGGCCCATCTCGTAATATACATAGAAGTGTTTAGTATGTAAGGAGTGAGTGATACTAGATTCTCACCCCTTGGCGGGGTGCAGCGCGAGCGCGCGCGGTTCAGCCAGGCCGGCGCGCAGCAGCACGCGGCGGTGGCGGCCGTCCAGCCGCGCCACCTCGATGCTGTCCGTGCCCTTGTCGCACCAGTACACGTTGCGCGCCACCCAGTCCACCGCCAGCCCATCCGGGTTCTGCAGTGTCGCGCCCTGCACCAGCTGACCACCGCCCGACAGTTACACATTAAGCCCACAACAGTTGGTTTCACGCCTGCGTGGCGCAATGCCTTAGCAACGAGCTGCACCGCTAAGGGCCGCTGGTATAAATCCCGCACAGGAAAAGTTTGTCTGGATGTTAGACCTTGTAAAATATATGTATGTAAGTAATGTGCTAGCCAAGGCTCAGCCACCGCAAGCGTAGGCAAATGAGGACTAATTATCTTACTCTCACTAGATGTCTCGCTAGTTGTAACTGAGATGAACTGATCATTCTCAACACAGCGCCATCATCATTGAAACGTTGCGTTTTGAACAAAAGCTTTTAGTTTATAATGTATTGTCGCACCAAGTACCAGCTGACGACATCCCCCTTATACGTCAAGCCGGCAACAAGTGGGTCAGGCCTCAGCTAACAAGAGCATAGGCAAATTGATCTAAGCCAAATGCTGCACTCTACATGTTGGTCAAGTTTGAAATACACTACATGTTGGTCAAGTTTGAAACACACTCTACATGTTGGTCAAGTTTGAAACACACTCTACATGTTGGTCAAGTTTAAACACACTTAGATGTTGGTCAAGTTTGACACACTCTACATGTTGGTCAAGTTTGAAACACACTCTACATGTTGGTCAAGTTTGAAACACACTCTACATGTTGGTCAAGTTTAAAACACACTCTACATGTTGGTCAAGTTTGAAACACACTCTACATGTTGGTCAAGTTTAAAACACACTCTAGATGTTGGTCAAGTTTGAAACACACTCTACATGTTGGTCAAGTTTGAAACACACTCTACATGTTGGTCAAGTTTGAAACACACTCTACATGTTGGTCAAGTTTGAAACACACTCTACATGTTGGTCAAGTTTGAAACACACTCTACATGTTGGTCAAGTTTAAAACACACTCTAGATGTTGGTCAAGTTTGAAACACACTCTACATGTTGGTCAAGTTTGAAAGAGATCAATGCTATGGCCAACATGTATTGCCGGCTTTACTAACGAGCTGACGAGTGTTACCTCGTGCCGAGTGGCTTGTGACGACTTCGAAACTAAATCGCAACGGCTCACAGACCCATACACATCGCACCGGAACAAGCGCATAGAGACAGAAATAAGCAGGGGAGTGTGGTAGCTGTCGCAGACAGATAGATAGAAAAGAAACCCCGCCACCTATGGCAGCTTGCCTGACAAATGTAACGAAGCTCATGGCTAGTGATATGCTTGCGCCCTAATGATCATAAACATCTATAAGAATTATTACCTAAAAGGTACAGCAGCTACAAAAACTCTACAAGATAATGAAAAATCTTCCTAAATAGGCAGAAATGAACTAAATGAACTGTTATCACTTTATTTACAAATTTTGACCCTCTTTATCAAATCTTTACGGTTAAAAATATTGAACTTGTAATATTATGATACAACGTCTCCAAATTAAGAAAGTAAATTAAAATAGCATAAACATATATTATTAAGGAAGTTTTGCTATGATTACCACGCTTGTCACTGTGTAGTTTCAGAACGTAAACTAATCTGGCGTAAACACATTATACGAATAGATTGTGATCTATGGAAAGCTGTAAAATATTTCTCATAGTTTCTTCCTATGATATCTATGGGATGAAACTGGATGATGCATTGTCTGACGCCACCAAAACATAATTTTTGATAAATATGTCACATTTTATGATGACAAAGTTAATAAAGAATATAATTATAGTAAATGATACATTCACATAAACTTTAAATTAATCCAATGTTTTCTCTTTTCTCAAACATGCAGGTTTCCTCGGCACTTAAAATTGCAATTAACAATTTCATTGATGCCGGCGGGATCGGACTCTGGTTGCTCACGTACTGTTAAATTTACAGCGAGCGCTAACCATCATCTGGCTTTTGATAAATTATTATTTGATATGAATTGATCACTGTTATGTATCGTAAAGAGCACTATGCTGAGTAATGTTTGCATTACTGTGTAATTGTAGTAAACCTAGAGTAGTAAACTTAATAAAGAACTGATTTGAATAACAAAGACCCTGTCATTATTCCAAATAAATATAAATATAAATACAAATAAAGTACAATACATAATTTGTATTAAATTGATAATAATAAACCTGATAGTCAGTTGAAGAAGTCTCGAGCAGGTGTAGAGGTTGCCACGGATGAGGGTTAGAGTAAAAGGGCTGGAGGGGTTTCTCCTTGCGGTCAGGTCGGCACACGCGCTTGATGGAGCTGCCGAGGCGCGTGACGTCACTCCAGTAGAGGCAGCCGCCCGCCCAGTCCATGTCCAGCGCCACGGCGTTGGTCAGGTTGTGTACCAGTAGTGACGTCACCGCGGACCCCGGAGGAGCGTCTTCACTCACGATGCTCGTTTGTCGGATGTAGTAGCGGTTTGTGAATATCAAAGATGCCTTGATGGCTGGAATGGATTTGAATTTGATATTATTTCTTATATTTACGCAAATACTACACATGAAATAAAACTAACTTTGTGGTGGAGTCCCCCCGAAGTGCCCGAAATGTCGGGAATTAAAAAGTTAAAATTAAACACAATAAATACCGTATTTTTGTTCTAGTTACATTCAATTTCATAATTACTTAAAATTGACGATAGTTAGATACATTTGTTTTTTTTTTTGTATTTTACCATTCAACACACAGTATAGTTACTTGCTCAGTAAAATCAGATATTGCAATAAATCTTATTTATTAATCTAAAATAATCTACTATCAAACACATTTGAAAAAAGTTTAGGCAAATCATAAATCTTTATTTACAAGAATCACGTTATAAGAGGGTGTTACAATTTATACATGTTACAATAAATTAATAAGAACTAACAATAAGATGGTTTAAATACACGCAGTGACATACTCACAAGAAATAGGTTCACAACTAATGCCGTCAGCCATTAGTTCGTATCCGTCGTTGCATGAACAAACAAAGCTGCCGACGGTGTTCCTGGAAAACAACGTGGAATATTTTTGACATATTCATTGGATTACGTGGTATATAGGCTACTATTTTCCATCCTCAAATAAAATAGTGAGAGATACCTGTAAAGTATTTGACTTTCTCTCTTTACGAAAACTCTGTTATGAAAAATATAATTGATTAGATATATCATCATTATATTCAACGGTGTGTTTGTTGAATTTAGTTTAGTTTAGTTGTCATTAGATGTCTCTCATAGATTTAAAAATGCGTTATAGTTATAGTGTAACGTAGACTAACTGCTTGGCTAGACTGCAAACGCAGGCGCAGGGCGGGTGCGTCGCGTCGTACTCAAACATTGGTTAACAACTATATGTTGTTTTTCGAAATCATCCATGAAAATGTCCGCCATAAGTGGACTTAGAGGGAACCCCATAGCTAACCCTTCTTTTTGTAGATAGAAACGGTTATTAAACCGGAAATAATTTTGTTTCATACAGAGAGAGGTTAAATTAAGAAGATCATTTGTTTCCCCGGGATGCAGACGACGTTTTTAAAGAGATCTGAGAGTATACGCAAACAGTCAGGGAATGGGACGTTTGTGAAAAGACTATCAACGTCTAAAGACAACAACATAGATTTAGGTGGAATACGAATATCTTTTATTTTGGAAATAAGTTCTAAACTATTTTTAAGGCTGTAAGTGGGGTTGAAACCAGATTTCTCCCGAAGGAGGAAGTTTAATTTTTTTAGCAAGGAAATAAGCTGGTGCACCTATATATGAGACAACTGGACGAATAGGAACATGTTCTTTATGTAATTTAGGTAACCCATATAAAGTGGGTGCTTGGGGATTCATTGTATATAATATATATATATATATATATATATATATATATATATATATATATATATATATATATATATATATATATAATACATAAGCAACTGTTTCGACTCGCCGCTCACTTAGCGGTCAGCCGCCGTAGAGTCTATATTACCTGAGGATGCCTCGTGTAGAGGCGAAACACGTGTCGTATTATCGTTGATGGTGTGTCTTGCCTGGAATAGTGGTGTTAAGAGTAGTGGTGCTTGGTCTAGTGGTGACGGAGTTAGTGTATGCAATTGAGGGAGGGCGGGAGGTGCGCTTCAATTCAGGTAAGACACATCATTTTATATGTTTAGCGGAAAGTTGCAAAGAAATTTATATTTTTATTTTTTATTACTCTGAAAGTAAGTATTAAAAATCATATAAAAATGCTAATTCTCTGCGTTATAAACTTAGGTATGAAGATATCCGCAGTAGAACCAGAGTAACTGATATAGCCCAATGGATAAGTAAACTGAAGTGGCAATGGGCCGATCACATAGATCAAAGAACCGATAATCGATGGGGAAAAAAGGTTCTTATGTGACATCCTCGTACTGGCAGGCGAAGTGTAGGGCAACCTTTCACTAGATGGAGTGATGACATGGACCTGGAAGGATGCAGATGGTTCAGGACCGTGCTTTGTGGCGTTCCTTGGGGGAAGCCTATGTTCAACAGTGGACTTGTAAAGGGCTGTGATGATGACAATGATGATGATTAACAATCAACCCTCTTTCTGCCTCATGAATCTTATATGAATATTTAGATTGCTTAACTATTGTGTCTATTTCGCGGACAGAGAAACTGTTAAACAGCAAGTCTACGAATGAATACAGGCTTATTCCTTAAATTGTTGCCACAGAGCAGACCGGAGGATTCCCGACCTCTGTATTTATCAGGTTGGCCGTCAATCAATTGGAGGGTAGGAGATCTTTCTTCCTCTACGACTAGGCTTTCCAAGGTAATTTCGGTCACATTTGATAACATATTAGGTTAGAAAACATTATTATAAGCCATGCTTAGGAGGGCACTTCACGTTGATTAAGAATAGGATCAAAGTTGAAATAAATAAGAGTGTGGTGTGGTGGGACGTGGGGCGTACCGGCAGCGGTGGTCGCAGGGCTCGTCCTCGGCGCACTCATCGACGTCGGCGCAGGCGCCGGCGCCGGCGCGCCGCCAGCCGCCGCGGCACCAGCACGCGCGCCCCACCGCCAGGTCGCTGCAGTTGTGCGCGCACTCGCCGTTCAGTACCAGGCACTCGTTCACGTCTGTCGAGATGGCGCTCTTATCGTACGCATCTACTTAGTAATGTCTCTATGAATCCGGCTCGAAGGATCAAATGTCTCTGCTCATTGAGCCGGATAGAAGTTTATGTGTGTGTATATACGCGCACGCGCGCGCGCGTACATACACACACACACGCACGCCGCGCGCGCGCGCGTGTGTGTGTGTGTGTAAACATTTAATCATCTCATAATTTTGTAACCGAATGTCCGATCGAAAAGCGGTTTGTGGAGTCTGAAAGGGCTCCACGGTACTTAGATTTTCTATAAATTTAGATCGAATCGTCACGGTAGATTCTAAGAAATCCTCAATAATTCGACTTTCTATAATTTACAAAAAGTGTTCTTTATTTTTAAATTACTTCAACACCCTTGTTAAGCTATTGCATAGCTTCTATCGCGGGCCTTGAGCGCGGGGACCGAATCCAGAAATTCCGTAACGAAAAAAAACCTCACGCTCCCCACTCCGACGGGCACGGAGGTGTGGCGTTGAAAGCCGTGCATCGTCTAATGTCGTTTCAGTTCGGCAGACTTCGGCACTCGGCAGAATTCGGCACGGTGTTTGTGTGCGTGCGACTAGACGTATGCGTGTACACTAGCTGCTAACTCAATGATAAAAATTCCTGAATAAATTACATGTATTGTAAGACATTAAAAATATTTTAAACAATATTAACTTCTCATTTATTCAATAAGAGAAAAAAAATTGTTTTCTTATCGGTCACCACGCTCAAAAAGTTTAACTTGATTTAATATCAAAGACTTAACTGCATAAATAAAATAAATAAATAATTATAATTGCATAAGTTGATAAAAAAATGCTATGCAATAGCTTTACTGCGGCAGTCACCGAGCGCCACACGTATTTTTTTTGATAAATTCTGTAATCAGCTCGTTTACTGAAAAAACGATGTCGATTGCCGTGAACCGCATCAAAATTGGTTGATTCGTTCAAGAGATATCGTTGTCGATAGAAATCTCCAAAAAGTGTTTTTTCAAAATAACTTGAAAAATTTCTGTCAATTCAATTTGTTTGTACCTAACAGGTTTTCTGTTAAGCTAAAAACTGCATAGATTGCAGCAAATTGCATTAAAATCGGTTGAAAATTTGAAGTGCTTTGCAATTGAAGTAGCAGGGATGGCCTGTAGGATTAACCGTATTTTTTTCTTATTTCTCAGACATACAGGTTTTCTCACGATGTTTTCCTTCATCGCATCTTTCTTATTGGTTACTGCTGCTGTTGTACCAATTGATGGATTGAGATCGGAGAGTTAGGAAATGATTGATCAGTTATCAGACGTTGGAATCTCGTTCATAAGCTTTTGGTTGGATCACGTGTAGGTGAAGTTAGCGAATAAAGTAGTTACTACGTTGGTTTTACTACGTTAAATAATAGTTGATACAAAATCAGTTTTTAATGATAGTAAGAATGACAAACACTCATACAGTTTATTTGATAGCAAGTGAATGCTATAATCTATAGACAGGTGCCATTTTTGAATCCTCATAACAATATAGTTCCATTGTTAGTAACAAGGTTTCTTTACACAACTAGAGAGACAAACGAGCACATAGTCCATGTCCATCATTTATCCGTGAGGACTAAGATTAAATACCACGTTTCCAGTAAAAATGGACTCCGGTTAACTACACCCACCATACAAAACACAGCAGCATTATGCTGCTAATTTACGCTGGTATTTTTTGTTAGTGTATTCCTTTCCACGCAGTAATAGAGAACCCTATGATGTACTCCTAAGTAATAATTAGTTGACGTGTGACGGTGACTTACTGCAGCGGTGTTCGTCGCTGTAGTCGCCGCAGTTGTCGACGCCGTCGCACAGCGCGTCGGCGGGCACGCAGGCGCCGTTGGCGCAGCGCCAGCGCCCGCGCGCGCAGCCGCGCCCCGCCACCTCACCCACCGCCTGCGCCGCGTCCCCCCGCACCCGCCGCACCCCCCACCGCACCCGGCATCAAGCTCGAACCGAACGCGCGCGCGTATGATGCTGTTGGCGAAACACATACACAAAACACACACATCTTTTTTATCGAATAAAGGTGACAAGCGAGCACACACTTCACCTAATGGTAAATGAATTCTGTGGCCCATAGACATCTACATCTATCTTAAATCTTGATATTCGATAAAGAATCAACATGCAGATGCATTGCCACCCCTGAAGACTAAGATGGAATGCCTCGCTTCCAGTAAAAAGGATCTCCGGTTCTTCACACTCATCATAAAGAAACACAGTAGCTATTAGCTGCCATTTTACGCTGGTACAACATTAATATAGCTGCAGTTTGGCTCTACTAATTATTCCCAGAAAGTACATCGGACATTAGCCCGTACTTACACACACAGACTTCGCAATTATACCATAGATCTTTAATAGAGTAAATAGGAGTTATTTAAACTTTTAGTATTTAAGGTAATAATTTAAACTGATAATAAATGATGAATATGAAATGATTATATAGAGCGTTAAGTCGACACCAATTTTACAAAAGTAAGATTACAATTTCACTACGTTTATGTTTGCAAAACGCGGCGCGTTAGAAAGCTTATGCAAAAATGTTCGAGTAGCTCATTCAAGTTTCTACAATGCTTAGGAAAAACCTTACACTTAGCTAATAATCTTCACGTTATAAGTTATTAAAATAAATGTATTTACATTCTTTTCTCTTAACATCAATGAATAGAAATAAAATGAAAATTAAATCACGCTTTATAAAACAGTACGGCACTGGTTCTTTCGTAGTTTATTTAGCTCTTTATTATCAAAGGTAATGAAAAGCCAATTAAAAAAATGAGTGTGTGCTTATGACCACTCGATAGAAGTGGAAACAAAACTTATGAATTACTAAGTATGCAAAACATTTTTTTTGTTTTCTTCGCTGCCGAGCGCAAGGTAAATTAGCACTTAAAATTGCAATTAACAATTTCATTCATGCCGGCGGGTATCGAGTCCGGGTTGTTCGCGTACTGTGAAAATTACAGCGAGCGCTAACCATCTGAGCTACCACGGTTCTACAATAGTAAAATATTATTTTACTATTACGATAATTAATAATAAAAATGTAATTCTTGGAACAAGGCACTGCTTGTCAGACAGTAAGTGTGGCTGATAAAGCCGATTAAGTTCGCTTCAGCGTCACCGAGACGAGCGCAACGGTTCACTATCGATCAGTGTTTAGAAAGAACGGCCTAAAGAAGTTTTCACTCAATAATACAAAGTTGTATGCAAGTGAGCGCGTACCGCACATGAAGGGGTCCTCATCGGTGCCGGCACCGTGGCCGCCGCCGTCCAGGCAGTGGTCGCGACCGTCGCACACGAGCGCGGCCGCTATGCAGCGCCCGCGGCACCGCACGCCGCCCGCCGCCGCGCCGCACAACGCGGCCACCGCCGCTCCGTCACCCCCCCCGCCGCCCGCTTCACCACCCGCCTCGCCACCCGCTTCACCACTCGCCACGCCCCCCGCCTTACTGCCTTCGCAGCCCGGCGGCTCGTCCGACCCGTCCACGCAGTCCACGTCCCCATCGCAGTACATTTCCTACTCAAATCATTACCTTCTGTATTAAATTGCAGGTGATATATAATATCCTTACACTTCACAAATATCAACAATACTATGTTACAAAATTTAATGAATTGTATAAATGTTTACAATAAACGACCATTAGGGATAGTGTAACCTCTGGTAGGAATTGTAACGTAACATAACAGCTTAATGCTGCTGCGTTTTTTGCGGTTAGTGTGAATAATCTTAACCTATCCTTTTCACCGGAAACAAGGCATTCCATTTTAGACCTCAGGGGTGACTCTGCATGTGCATTGCCTATTATGGGCCACATCATCTACTTGCCATCAGGTGTATTGTTTATCGTTTGTCACTATTAAAAACAATCAAGCAGCACGCAACAATAATACACATTTGGCAATAAAATTTAATATATTAATTTATTATTTCCACGTAAGGAAATAAAATATCGTTCACCATGTCTTTTTTCTCTAAATCTATTACCCTTTGGATACAAGGTTCCTTTGACCGAAAATGATCTGTCAAAAGGAACTCCACAAAACGGTTTTATCTTCTTTTTTGTTTAATGCTAATAATTACATTTACGTTATATAACAGATCAGTTCGGCGAATCAGAAACGGTTGCGCGGAAAACCATTCGTATTTTTATTTTATTCGAAGGTAGGCATGACAAGCGTTTTGTCCTTCCTTCGACCTTTCCTTCACCTGTCGTCCCTCCGACACACCGGGGTGGTGGGGTGAGAGGGGGAAGAAGATGATTCTAGAATATCACGTGATTTACAATCAATAAGAGGCGCGCCCCTCCGAGACGCATTGATAGGAGGACCGAAGTAATATAAGCGTGTGCAGAGCCTGCGTGCGCTCTCTTCCATCGCACCATCGACCAGGACCGCTTCTCTGCGTCCCCAGGAGATCCGCCAGAAGTCGCAACGCAGCAGCAAAGCGTCCAAGCCGCATCGAAGTAACACCCCGGTAAGTGTGATTCCTTATTTTCATTACCCTGCTTGAAATTTGTGTTTTAATAGTTCATCCGCCCTATTTTCATTCCTCCTAATGTGGTCAAGCAGGGGTTCCTTCATAAGCCTTGGCAGGCAATAGGTTTTCTTGGAAGAGCGAGTGCATTGCTAGGGAACCACGTGTCAATTCCGCTATCTAGTTTAGACATCAGCCGCGTATAGAGTCCACATAGTGAAACATCTCGCGTACTAGGGTAAATGCTCGACCGGGGAATAGGCCCGCCGCTCAACCATTTCTGATCCTTCGGCCGGATTTGGACTGGTGCTTGTAGCCTCACCGTCCATTTAATCATCGAATTGTTGGATTGATTCCTTAGACAATGCACTCTAATTGCACTTAATATTGAATAGATTTAAATAGTGTTTGTTTAAATTTAAACTTTGGTTAGTTATTCGCAAATAAAATTCATTCATTTAAATAGTGTTAGTTTAGTTTAAATTTAAACTTTGGTTAGTTATTCGCAAATAGAATCATTCATTCAAAATAGCTTGGTTCCGCACGGTCATTCGGCATACCCGACATTTCGTAAAAGAAAAAAAAAACAGTGTGAGTTTAGCGAGCGACACGCGTCACCTCGGCTCGTTGTAAAAGTGTTCATTTTAACGACGTAATACGGCACGATAAGACAATAGTGTTGGGAGATATAGTTGTGTTACATTGCGTCCATCCTCCAGCGTTTGTCGATTAATTGTGATTAATCTAATATTAATTCTAGTAATTCAAAATGGCAGTTAGTGGAAATGAAATTAAAATTAAAACTCTTTACGCCAAGAGGGACATACTCTTCTCACGTATACAGTGTATTAGTGATCACATAAAGAACATTAACGTAGAAGCAGTGCGGGAGACGTTTTTGTGTGGAAATCGAAATGGTGGACTCTTTGCGAACGGATTATGAAAGGGTATTAGACCAAATTAATAATTTGGAATTACAAATCGACCCTAAATATACAGTGAACTATCAACCGCTTCTGGCATTTGAAGAAAAAGAACGCGTGAAAAGAACGGCGAAGCTCTTGCAGTCCCCATCTCAAAGCGAAACAAAGCCGTAAGCCCAGGTACGCCCACGTGATTCACTTAGGTTGCCCCCAATAGATATTCCGGTATTCAATGGCGATATTAAGACATGGCCCTTCTTCTTTAGTAGTTTTTAAAATAATATACATAATAATCCATCGTTATCGGACACTGAAAAATTATATTATTTAATTAGTAAACTGAGGGCACAGTCAATTTGCTCGGGTTTCATACCAACAGCAAATAATTATTTGTTAATATTCGAAACGCTTAAGGACAAATATGAAGATAAGCGAATGTTAGCCTCTTCGTATTTAGACCAAATATTTGATATTAAACCTATATCATCCGCGAACATCGCCGGCTTAGAGCAGTTTTTAGATAAATTTGTGGCATCGGTGGCGGCACTTAAGAACTTGAATTTTAATGACCTTATGGACGTGGTGTTTCTCCATGTTGCACTAAAGAAACTAGACCCCGACACCGTGCGTGCGTTTGAAATGGAGCATCGTAGCTCTGAGATGCCCTCATTTGATTCATTAGCATCCTTTGTGCGAGACCAAATCAAAGTGATGCAGCGCTCCTCGAACGTTAGACAGGAGTAATGATTTCTTATATTTACGCGAACACTACACATGATTAAAACTACTTTTACGGATTTTATCGCGTTTATTTTTGCTTTTAATTACTTTTATTTTTAATTCCCGACGTTTCGGGCGCTTTCCAGCACCCATGGTCACAGGGGGACTGAGATGACTGACGTCCCGATGTCATTGTTAAACCCAGAGTACCTTCAGCTTTTTTAATTATTGTTTATGGTCCGATCTATGCAAAATGAACTGACTATGTCTTGAGGTCTTGCAGTGGTATGCTTGGGTTTAGTTTTAATTTTATTGATTATAGGATCCCAAGCAGGTGGTAGTACCCAGCCTCCTTCTCTATTGAAATTAGGATGTTTTTTAATTTCAATAGCCTCACGTATCATCCTTGGTAGGAATCGGTGTTCTTTCGCGAGGATTTGTGGTCTATCAAATCTGATGTAATGGTTGGGGCCGTCCAGGATATGATCACAAACTGCAGACTTCCCGGAACGTTGATGCTTCACATTAGCTATATGTTCTTTTACGCGGGTTCTAATTGATCTTTTGGATGATACGTGAGGCTATTGAAATTAAAAAACATCCTAATTTCAATAGAGAAGGAGGCTGGGTACTACCACCTGCTTGGGATCCTATAATCAATAAAATTAAAACTAAACCCAAGCATACCACTGCAAGACCTCAAGACATAGTCAGTTCATTTTGCATAGATCGGACCGTAAACAATAATTAAAAAAGCTGAAGGTACTCCGGGTTTAACAATGACATCGGGACGTCAGTCATCTCAGTCCCCCGTGACCATGGGTGCTGGAAAGCACCCGAAACGTCGGGAATTAAACATAAAAGTAATTAAAAGCAAAAATAAACGCGATAAAATCCGTAAAAGTAGTTTTAATCATGTTAGACAGGAGGTTAAGAAAGGTGTCGACCGTAGACAGACTCCATCACCTAAAACCGCAGGGTCGTTAACGTACGTAACCGCTGCACCGGTACCGCCGCAGAATGCCTCTATGTAAAGATAAACAACACGGCAATATATACAATTGTGCGACCTTTCGTAAACATTCACCCAGCGAACGTTATAGGATAGTAAGGGCAAACAACTTATGTTTGAATTGTCTAAGCGATAGGTATTTAGTTGCTAAATGCAATTCTAATTCCGTGTGTAACAAGTGCGCCAGAAAACATCACACGTTGTTACATTTCGAAAATAGCAACATATCTGCGTCAAGTAAATCGGACAAGAAAATCACACCTACTAAAGTCGACGATTCTAGCGGTCGACCTGGTGAAGTCGCTCTGTGCTCATTGTCAAATATGGGAACACAGCCTCCTTCAACCGTGTTACTGGGTACAGCCCGTATTGTAGTTAGGGATTCGCGTAGAAACGAACAAAGCGTCCGTACATTGCTGGACAGCGGATCCCAAAATAGCTTTATAACGCGACAATGTTGTCAGCGCTTAGGCTTGGTAATAAATAGGTCACTTTCATGTCCCGTAGTCAAAGGCATCGGAGGTACTAATAAAGTTACCCAGGGATATATAAATTTAAAATTTTATTCTCGGATAGATCGTAGTGTTAACTTTGATATAAATGCACTAGTAGTAAATAAAGTCACTGAACGTCTGCCAACCGTTTCGGTTGACACCTCGGCAATGATTGAATTTAAAAATTTGACTCTAGCAGACGACACTTACGCCGTTCCCGGAAACATAGACATGCTCATTGGAGCATCGCTTTTCCCTCATCTTTTGTTAAACAATAAGGTCAGGGGCAACTCCTCGCATACCGCGCCTTACGCACTAGGGAAACCGTCTTGGGCTATGTCATCGTTGGCTCCGCCCCCATCATGGATAGTATCTCGGCAACCTCTTATTGTTGTATGGCTGTCGAACCGCTCGAGTCGTTAGTCCGCAAATTTTGGGAGATGGAGGAGGTGAACGTTCCACCTATAGTTATCGCAGATGATAGATTGTGCGAGGAAATTTACGTCCGCACGACCGTTCGTGATCGCGACGGTCGATATAGTGTAGCGCTACCCTTTAAAGGAGATGTTTTATCTCTCGGCGATTCGCGTCAAATGGTCTCGAAATTAGATAACTACGAAGATACACCGTCGTATTTCATACCACATCACGGGTTCATTAAGGAGGACAAACTTACATCTAAGTTACGTGTAGTGCTCGACGCTAGTGCTAAAACTAGCACTCGCCTGTCTCTTAACGATATCCTCTATAGTGGGCAAAATTTACAGGGCAGTTTATTTAATATAATAGCCAATTTTCGTTTGTTTAGTATAGCACTATCCGCCGATATTCGCCAAATGTTTCTTTGCATAGGGGTCCGTGAATGCGACCGTCGGTTCCAACGCATTTTATATCGTTTCAACCCAAAAGAACCTCTAATGGTGTTTGAATTTAACCGCGTTTGCTTTGGTTTAAAGTCGAGCCCATTTCATGCGTTACGCACGGTGAGACAACTCGCCCACGATGAAGGTCCCTCTTATCCTAAAGCTAAGAGGGCAATTGAAAGTGGGTTATATATGGATGATTTTGTGTACTCGGTCGATAGCGTGGAGGAGGCCACCCTAACTACCGCCGAGGTTATAAAGCTCATGAAAGCGGGTCAATTCGATCTTGTCAAGTGGACTAGTAATTCGCGTCCGGTTTTAGACACAATCCCACTATCACACCGTCTTTCGGCGATAAAGGAATTCGACGGTTCTGATACGCACAAGGTGCTCGGTCTGTGTTGGTCACCGGAGTCCGACGTGTTTAGCCTTAAGGTAAACCGGCCCCAAGAAACGTGCACAAAGCGCACAATACTGTCATGCGTTGCTAGATTATGGGATGTAATGGGTTTCGTAGCTCCGGTGGTACTATACGCTAAGCTTTTGATTAAACAACTTTGGTTATGTGAATGCGATTGGGATGACCCGCCGCCTGACAGCATTGTTCGATTGTGGCAGCGTTTTAGAGAGGAACTTTCTTTACTGAGAGAAATTAAAATACCACGTCATATAAACGTCGATAAAAATAGCGTCATTACGGTCGTCGAGTTTGCAGACGCCAGCGAGAAAGCTTACGGGGGGCGTTATATATTTCCACGTCCAGAATAACGGTAGAAATTCGATTAGCCTCATTAGCTCTAAGTCAAGAGTCTCCCCCCGTAAGGTTGTCTCTCTGGCGCGCTTAGAGCTTTGCGCAATATTAGTCCTCACCAAGCTTATTACCGCAGTTATCAGCGCATGTAATGACAGAGTTCACACAGAAAGGATATTTGCCTTTTCCGACTCCACCGTCGCTTTATATTGGGTTCATTCATCATCCCACCGTTGGGATACGTTTGTCGCGAACCGAGTAGCCAAGATCCAAGACGAGTTAGGAACGCGGAACTTTTATCACGTGTCCGGTATGGAAAACCCTGCCGATTGTCTATCCCTTGGACTCACCCTGATGCAAATAATGGACCATCCGCTTTGGTTCCACGGACCTTCTTGGGTTCAATTGGAGCCCTCGCAATGGCCAATAACCGATTTCGACCCTTCGTCAGTGTCACAACCGCCGGAAGAGAAGAGGCACGCTCTGGTGGCGAGCGTTTCGAACGAGGTTTCTCCAATCATTGCTTTGGCGAACCGCTTGTCCTCTTGGTCGAAATTATTGCGTAGCGTAATTTACGTTTGTCGATTCGCGAAGCTTTTACTGCGACGTTCGCATATCTTAGCATCCGATTACAACTATGCCGAGTTGCTAGTATTGCGTGAACTTCAACGTGCACATTTTTCCGAGGAAATTACAAGATTACAATCGAATAGAGCTTGTAGTCGCGCTTTTCAACGCCTTAAGCCATTTTTACAAGATGGGATCGTCAGGGTAGGTGGACGCTTGTCCAACTCGCAGTTGAGTTTCGACCAACGGCACCCTATAGTTTTACCGCGTAAAGACCATATCATGAATTTATTAGTTGAACGCCGTCATAAATTGAATTCTCACGCTGGCCCCGACTTGCTGATGTTGATCTTGCGTCAGAATTATTGGATTCTTTCCGCACGCAACTTAATCCGCAATCGGGTGCACAGATGTATAGCTTGCTTTCGGGTACGTCTAAGCCGTGGAAATGGGGACGGGTCTTGTCGAGTAATACAATCCGTAAAGCCCTTTACGCACACCGGGTCTGATTTTGCTGGTCCGTTTAAGGTCACGCTCACTCGCGGGCGTGGTACAAGATCCACGAAGGCTTACGTCTGCATTTTCGTATGTCTAACTACTCGGGCGGTGCATATAGAACTCGTTGGTGATCTAAGCACAGCGGGCTTTATGGGTGCATTTAAAAGATTTCTTTCCCGCCGTGGCCCTGTAAGTAAATTGTATTCGGATAACGGTACGAACTACGTCGGTGCAAAACGTATTTTATCAGAACTACATGAGCTCTTAGCCAGCAAGTATTATAATTCGGAGTTCGCTCACATTCTAGCCGAAAACCGCATCGAGTGGTCTCTGAACGCCCCAGCCGCGAGTCATTTTGAGAGTAATTGGGAGACTAATATTAAGAGTCTAAAGAGTCACTTATACCGAGTAATAGGAGATCAAATTTTGTCTTTCGAAGAGCTAAGTACTGTGCTCGCTCAAATTGAGTGCGTCATGAATAGTCGCCCACTTTGTCGTACGTTGTCAAGTGACCCCTCAGAGCCGCTGGCTCTAACTCCAGCACATTTTTTGAATTTAACGCCTTTGAAGTATTTGCCCGCCGTAGATATGGACGAGAACAAACTTAGCATTTCCGCACGCCATAAATTATTAGACCGGTTGGTGCAATCGTTTTGGAAACGATGGAGGATGGAATACTTGCACACTTTACAGTCTCGGCAAAAATGGAACACAGCAACTGAACCTTTAACTGTCGGAACTGTGGTTGTGCTCACCAAGGAGAATACGCCGCCTCTCCATTGGCCATTAGGGATTGTCGAAGAGGTTTTTCCCGGTTCCGACGGGGTAATTAGGGTAGCTCACTTTAGGACCACGGTTGGGTCTTACATGCTTGTTCGTTTGTGCCTTTTGCCCCTTCAATAGTTTAAATTAGTTTTCTAGATTAGAAATTATAATCGACATTTAGGTTTAATCTTAGCGTTAGTTAGTTATTTTGTTAGTTTGATCTTAGCTCTAGTGTTTTAGTTCTTTTTTGAAGGAAATCCTTCAAGCCGGTGGGGGGATGGTTGCGCGGAAAACCATTCGTATTTTTATTTTATTCGAAGGTAGGCTTGCCAAGCGTTTTGTCCTTCCTTCGACCTTTCCTTCACCTGTCGTCCCTCCGACACACCGGGGTGGTGGGGTGAGAGGGGAAAGAAGATTTCGTGATTTGCAACAATAAGAGGTGCGCCCCTCCGAGACGCATTGATAGGAGGGCCGAAGTAATATAAGCGTGTGCAGAGCCTGCGTGCGCTCTCTTCCATCGCACCATCGACCAGGACCGCATTTCTGCGGCCCCAGGAGATCCGCCAGAAGTCGCAACGCAGCAGCAAAGCGTCCAAGCCGCATCGAAGTAACACCCCGGTAAGTGTGATTCCTTATTTTCATTACCCTGCTTGAAATTTGTGTTTAATAGTTCATCCGCCCTATTTTCATTCCTCCTAATGTGGTCAAGCAGGGGTTCCTTCATAAGCCTTGGCAGGCATAGGTTTTCTTGGAAGAGCGAGTGCATTGCTAGGGAACCACGTGTCAATTCCGCTATCTAGTTTAGACATCAGCCGCGTATAGAGTCCACATAGTGAAACATCTCGCGTACTAGGGTAAATGCTCGACCGGGGAATAGGCCCGCCGCTCAACCAAGAAACAAGATTTTATTATTGTTATATTACTTATTTATATTTCTATACTCATAGCGTAATATTAGTTACAAAATGTACGTAATAATAAAATCGTAATTATTGGAACGATGCACTGATTACCATCTGACTAGGAGTCAGATGGTAAATGTGGCTGATGACGACGAGTCGATTAACGTCCCCAAGCCGAGCTTAACGGTTCATGTTTGTCATTAGTCAGGAAGAACACGCCTAAAGGAATTACCACTTAAAATGTTGCACAGAGTACTCACGAAGTCGAGGCAGAGCTGCGAGTCCGTGCAGCGGAAGGAGCCGGCGGCGCAGCTGCAGCCCGCCTCGTCCTCGCCGTGCGGGCAGTCGGCGGCGCCGTCGCAGCGCGCGCCCGCCGGCGCGCACGCCCCCGACACCGCGCACCGGAACGAGTCCGCGCCGCACGCACTCGCGTTGCCGCTCGCGTGACCTGCTCGCCCAGCATCATGCGGACAGGAAAGGAGTGGAATAAGTTGCCGGCATCATTTATGTGTGAATGTTTTACACGTTGATCCAGTGAAAAGTGTTTTATTAAACCCTCGTTAAAAAAAGTCAAGAGAGCTATTCCGGTTTGCTAATAACGCGGTAACATTTATCTCCACATCTTCAGTATAAGTCAAACACTATTTATAGTTTAGTCACTAAATTAGTACTCATAATTATACTTTAATATTTAATATTTCATTGTGTTACCAGTAAGTAGTATATTATACGTGGTAAAGCAATAAAAAACTGCTGTTGCGAACCCGCTCGCCAAGCGTAGCAACAATGTCAATATGAGTACCCCACATGAGTGCTAAGAATCTTAGGTAACTTTTGGTAATAACTCACGCACCCTGAGGACTGACGAGAAAATCCTGGAGCTCGAAGAAAAGACAGAAAAGTTGCGCTGGTGACATATACGTGTGGAGTACGGTCATCCAACCAGTAATAAACGAGTGTTACAAGACAGCGGTCGTTTCATTGCATTCACAAACATATCATTGGCGACGAAGAAGGAGTACCCACAATTAAAAAAAAAAAAAAATGGCTTATCTGGGAAATCTGCCTATTTTTGACCATAAGTCAAGTGAATGGTCAATTTTCAAAAGCAGACTAACTCAGTTTTCGAAGATAAATCGCGTCGAAGAAGTGAACAAAAGTGGAATTCTTCTCACCCATCTTACGGATGAAACGTATCGCTTGGTACGAAACTTAGCGTACCCGCAAGACTTAGAATCTCTAAGTTACTCGAATCTCGTTAAATTACTCGACGGTCATTTCAAGCCAAAAAAATGCTCATTTGTGGATAAAGAAAAATTTTTTTGGAGCAACCAGAAATCCAGGCGAATCATTGGGAGACTGGGCAGCGCGATTGAGAGGTCTCGCAAGCAATTGTGACTTCGGCACTGCCTTGGAAACGAATTTAAGAGATCGTTTCGTCCTCGGCCTGGGCCCTGGCCCGGAACAAGATAAGTTGTTCGAATAAGATCCGTCCACATTGACACTGTCAGTAGCTATGGAGCTAGCCGAGCAGGCGGCGTATGCCAGGCGGGCGAAGGTAATGTTGTGCACCAGCGAACATGCTACAATTAAGGAGGAACCGGTATACCGAGCGAAATTTCAAGGTCAAGGAGACAGCGGCGCGGTTATACGGCGTCCTAATGCTGGCAGGACATCAGGAGGTCGCGACCAACCGAGAGATTTTTCTCGTTGTTCGGTCTGCGGCTTGAAGAACCACCAAAGTGATAAGTGCCGTTATAAAAGTTACAAATGTCAAAAGTGCGGTGAAAAAGGTCATTTAAAGAAAGTGTGCGATAGTATCAATAGATCGCGGATGTACCATATCGAGTCGGTAAGCGAACCAGAGCAGGTCAAGGACACGTCTTGTGAGGAGTGCCACAATTTTAATTTGAGGTATGTGACTGATAAGCCCATTTCAATTGATGTAATAATAGGTAATCAGTGTATGACAATGGAGCTTGATTCAGGATCAAGTAAAAGTGTGATTTCTTATAATACATATAAGGAAAAATTCTTAAAATATTCATTACATAGTAGTTCTGTAAAAATGTGCTTATATAACGGACACAAGATTGATCCATTAGGTTATATTACTGTAGAAACTATGGTTGCGCGGAAAACCATTCGCGTTTTTTTTATTTTTGACGGTAGGAACTTGTCGAATCATTATTCCCTTCCGAAACAATATCATTCGTACCCTCCTATCGACACATCGAGGTGGTGGGGTGGGAGGGGAAAGAAGACGATTCTAGAACATCGCGTAATCATCGGACCCGAGGATATATAAGACACGCGCGACCGACGCGCGCTCTCTTCTCCCGCCGCAGTCGTCGTTGAACTACAACCTCCTCTTCCCGCGCGCTTGGAAACACCTCACTAGTGGAAACCGCTTTGGCCTGGAAGCAGTCGAGCTCCAGGAACCCGCCTCACCTCGTGTGAGATATCGTCGCGCACCGCCTCTCTCCGGAGTGTTCCAGAAGTCGCTATAGTGATCGACAGGAAGAAGAAACCCCGGTGAGTCAATACTCCTTAATTATACCTGCTTGCTAATAATTTAACCCGCTCCAATCTGTGTTTTTTTTCCTAGTCAAGCAGGATTCCTTTCATCGATTCGACAAGTAATAGTTTAGTTTAGGGAAGAGCGAGTGCATTGTACCGCATGCTATAGTAGTCGCTTTTAACGTAAGCGTAGAAGCAATCGCATATACAGTCCACTTTAGTTAATATCTCGCGTAATAGGTTTGAGGTTTGACCGGGGAACTAGATTTTCGGCAGCCTTAAACACGTGGCTCCACCATTTTATGGTCACTTCGGCAGGATCTGGATTGGTGTTTAGTGGTTATCCAACCATTTTCTGGTCGAATTATTAAATTAATTGTTTAGATAACGCACTCTAACTTATAGAATAGACTTAAATAGTGTTCGTTTAAATTAAAATTTTGATTTGTTACTCGCAAACAGAATTATTCATTTAATAGCGCTCGTATTTGGTTAAATTTAAAGCTTATTAAATAATTGAAACGGCGTGATAGCAACCGTTTGATATGCTTACCCCACAATTTTATAAAATTATTAGGTTTAGCAAACGACGCGTAGCCTTAACTGCATCGGGCGCTCGATCTGATTACGTAATACAGCACGCCGAGTATTCATCCTACGTCGTTTATGCGTGTGAGATTAATTGTGATTAATATAACTTTATTATAATAATTTAAAATGGCAGTTAGTGGAAGTGAAATCAAAATTAAAACGCTTTATGCCAAGAGGGACATACTCTTTTCGCGTGTGCAAAATATAAGTGATTATATAAAGAACATTCATATAGAGGCAGTGCGGGAGGCCTTTTTAAATGAAATCGAAACGATAGATAATTTGCGGACAGATTACGAAAGAATATTAGACCAAATTAATCATTCGGAACTACAAACCGACCCGAAATACATAGTGAACTACCAACCGCTGCTGGCATTCGAAGATATGTTGTGTCGCGTAAAAAGAACTGCAAAACTCCTACAATCTCAAAGCGAAGCAAAGCCGGAAATACAGGTACGCCCTCGTGACTCAATTAGGTTACCGCTAATAGATATTCCGGTATTCAATGGTGATATTAAGACGTGGCCCTTCTTCTTCAGTAGTTTTCAAAACAATATACACAACAACCCATCGTTATCGGACGCTGAAAAATTATATTACTTAATTAGCAAACTTAGTGGCAGAGCACAGTCGATCTGCTCGGGTTTTACACCTACAGCAAACAATTACGTATTAATATTTGAAACGCTTAAAACTAAATATGAAGATAGGAGAATGTTAGCTTCCGAATATTTGAACCAGATATTCGATCTTAAACCTATATCATCCGCGAACATCAACGGCTTAGAGCAGTTTCTCGATAAATTTGTGGCATCGGTGGCTGCACTTAAGAATTTGAAGTTTGATGACCTTATGGACGTGGTGTTTCTCCATATAGCATTAAAGAAATTAGACTCCGACACCGTGCGTGCGTTTGAAATGGAGCATCGTAGCTCGGAGATGCCTTCCTTTCATTCATTAGCATCGTTCGTGCGAGATCAAATAAAGGTGATGCAGCGCTCACCGAACGTTAAACAGGAGATTAAAAGGTGCGTCGACCGTAGACAGACTCAACCATCTAAAATAGCAGGGTCGTTAACTTACGTAACCGCTACGCCGACATCACTCCAGCATACTTGTATAGTATGTAAAGATAAACACGGTAACTTATATAACTGTGCGACTTTTCGTAAATATTCACCAAGCGAACGTTATAAGTTAGTAAAGACAAACAACCTATGTTTGAACTGCTTAAGCGATAAGCATTTAGTTGCAAAATGCAATTCGAGTTCCGTATGTAGCAAGTGCGCCAGGAAACATCACACGCTATTACATTTTGAAAATAGCAACATAGCGGCGTCAAGTAAGGCGAATAAGGAATTCACCCCTACTAAGGTCAACGATTCTAGCGGTCGACCTGGTGATGTCGCTCTGTGCTCATTGGCAAATATGGGAGCACAACCTCCTTCAACCGTGTTACTGGGTACGGCGCGTATTTTGGTTAGGGATTCGCGTGGAAACAAACAAAGCGTCCGTGCACTGCTGGACAGCGGAGCCCAAAATAGCTTTATAACACGACAATGTTGTCAGCGCTTAGGCTTAGTAATAAATAGGTCACTTTCATGTCCTGTAGTTAAAGGCATCGGAGGTACTAGTAAAGCGACACAGGGATATATAAATTTAAAATTTTATTCTCGGATAGATCGTAACGTTAACTTTGATATAAATGCACTAGTAGTAGATAGGGTCACTGAACGGTTGCCAACCGTTTCGGTTGACACCTCGGCAATGATTGAATTTAAAAATTTGACTCTAGCAGACGACACTTACGCCGTTCCTGGAAACATAGACATGCTCATTGGGGCATCGCTTTTCCCTCATCTTTTGTTAAACAATAAGGTCAGGGGCAACTCCTCGCATACCGCGCCTTACGCACTGGAAACCGTATTGGGCTATGTGATCCTTGGCTCCGCCCCCCATCCTAGATAGTATTTCGGCAGCCTCTTATTGTGGTATGGCTGTCGAACCGCTCGAGTCGTTAGTCCGCAAATTTTGGGAGATGGAGGAGGTGAACGTCCCACCCATAGCTAGTCCAGATGACAGGATATGCGAGGAAATTTACGTCCGCACGACCGTTCGTGATCGCGACGGTAGATATAGTGTAGCGCTACCCTTTAAGGGAGATGTTTTATCTCTCGGCGATTCGCGTCAAATGGCGGAAAAACGTTTCTACAGCTTGGAGCGTAGGATGCTCGCTTCGCCCCAGTTAAAGGAAGCTTACGACGGCGTCATTAACGAATATATAAGAGAAGGTTACATATCACTTGTGGCTTCGAAATTAGATAACTACGAAGA